AAAAGAAGCGAACTTTTTGAACGTAGTGCATGAGCACGTCTCTACTTGTCACTGGCGTTTGTCCTTGTAGCTAGCTGCCTCTTACAGCTTTGGCTTGCAGCATACTTTCGGGGTTATCTGACCTCTCGGACAGTAACCAATTTTTCTGTGCACACCTGCACCTAGCCAGCTCTTGATGCAGGAAGTCTGTGAATCTCCGTGTGAGGAAGACTGGTCCACTACATGACTGCGCTGTAGGCTATTTGAATTGTGAAGTTGAACTTCAAAATCCGGGGCCAAAAAAAAGTGATAAAACTTTAGTCTGCGAATGCCATGATGCAGGCTACTGTATACGCTAATATGCCCCATGTACAACTGCTTCCTAGTTCAAATGGCTTCCTGAATTTTGATTTTTTCACTGGGACCATTTGATTATAAGAGTGAGCTGTGAAAACAAGCTGATTCCCAAGGCTCACTTCTCCCTTTCCCCTTTTGCTAGTTCTTGCTCCAACAAAACCACTTGAGATTTAGCCGACTGCGCCTTCCTATTTCGTTAAATATGCGGGCTGGAACTCGGAATTACTTCTTCGTAAGCTTAGGGCCGGGCTTACGGTGCCCGTCACGTCTCAAGGCCCACAGCCGACCAGAATTTGTATCGCCTTATTATACATCGTTTATAATGTAATATCGGCGTTAAAACCGCAAAGGATTACCAGGTCACTCTATTTGAGGCCAGAAAGTACGCTGATCTGGAGCTGGCGACAAGCAAAACTTTCGTAGAAAGGCTAGGTTATGAGGGTGCAGAACGCACATGTATAACAAGCTGGGCTCAATATACAGCTACTCAATTAGCGTGCTGATGCAATTAGAAATTCAAAGGATTGCAAATTTCTGAAAGTGTCGCAGTCCTGCATGCTCTCCTTGATTACGCCTTGCCTCCACGCCTAATAGAAGCGTCAGCAGGATTATACCGTAATTTTATCATTGCAGAGAGCGGGGAGCATGTCCACATCAGCGTTAATCTTGCACTACCATGCACACCATGACGAGTGACCCAGGCTGCCCTGCAACCTTGTAGACATTTTCGGCTTGGCACTGTACTTTGCACTCTGTAAGCACTCCAGAAAATGTCCATGTTTCTGCAACTTCTTCCACATTAAAAAACCTCTCCTCTCTGAGATGGGCTCTTCCTAGAGGGCCAGCAACCAGACCACAGGCAGCGCGCATAACGGTGTTCCAGGGCTACATGGATATCCCTGGTTGCATTCTGTGGCACACACTCTCTATGCTGGAACCACTTGCTGCGCAACTAGCCTTCTGCCTTACGGTACGGTTGTGAATCATGCATCGGTAAAGCACCAAAGCCAACCTCTAGATCCCCAACCAAAAACATTTGCTCGGTCTCAACATAAAAATCTGATTAAAGCATCGTGTGCAACCCTGTTTGAGCGAGCGGCCACCTGTCTGGATTATCAGGCTTGGAAAGGGCTATGCAAGTACGCAACACGACCTTGTACAACTTCATTACAAATGCTATACCTCTTTAGGTCGCAACGGTTCCTGCCTATTACTTCCCTCTTCGTACATGGACGGCAGCATACCACCGTACAACAAGGTCACAATTGCATTGTGGTGCCTTACGATGACTACGGAAGGCCAAAGCACGTCACCACGCTTTTCCTTTAATGTCTTGAACGAAGTATGGCCAGATGCCGTCCTTTTTTGTCGTGCCGCTTTTGGTAGCAACCTCTGCCAAGCTTCCAACCGCAAGCCTTCCACATCTCAACTTGCTTACAACTCCCAGGACATGGCTTCCAGAATCTCGACACCTTCCACCGCAGAATTGGCTCTGTTGCCTTCATCATTGCTATACACTAGCGCAACAATACCCCTGCGGTCAGTAAATAAGAGAGCCAACTGCAGCGGCTGTCAACATTTTAGTAGTGTGTTTGAAGCATCGAGCATTCGAATATCAGCTTCATACCGCAACTTTGACCTATATGTATCCTCATTCTCCGTCGGTCTCAGTGCTTCAGAGCTAGGCAAACTGCTGAGCCTTAAACAGTCATCTGCTCCTCACATTGTTAGGCTTTGGACGGCTCGTAAGAGGTCAAGTAATTGTGAAGTATCAGTCACCGATGCTCTGTACGTAATACCAGCGAAGTTACATGAAAGCATTACGACAGCTGCGATTCAAGCTTTCAGACCAGGCGCCGAAGCTCAGTGAATGCCAGTTTGACGAATATGTGGTTCGAAGTGGCTGATCTCTGGGATGCCCATACACGCATCAGCTCTGGTGGTTCTTTCCGTCTAAACCCAGTTTTCAACATGGAGGAAATCTAGATATTTTAAGTACGTGGATGAGCCTGGAGGACGCTAGTGAAATCTATAATAGAGGTTTCCCTGTTGGATGCACAACATTTGCACAGCAAGGGGCAATAGAGGTAAATATCTACTCTACTCTTCGACAGCGGTAACACGTGTTCAACACGTTAGTGTTTATACATTTGAGACATGAAATATCTTCACGCAAGCTTCAGTATTTTGGTAAATCGGCCTGGCACTTTTAATTGCTGCTACACGCAACTCAATCCATCGACAATTCTCCTGTTCGAGCCTGTGCTCCGCGAAACGAACCGCAAGTGAACCAACAGGGGATTGATGACCATGCATCATACGCCTCTGCCTAGTAACAGCCTTTATTTTATGCTTTTTGTGTATCCTCAGGAGAAGTCTTGAACCATCAGCTAGAATGTTGCGGTCTACCTTAGGGGCATTTACGCAAAACACAACCAAGCTTCCGGGCTGGCCTCTAAAAGCGGGACCAATAGGAGAATGGGAGCTTCAAGAAGGAAAGTCACAGCATAACTGACGGATTGTCGGCCGGAATCGCGGCCATGCACAAACAGAAAGACAGGAACGTCTATGGGCTGGAAAAAGACGTTGCCTCGACGTGAAGCAAAAATATGCGTGGCATAAGAGCCTTACCCTTCGCATCCGAGAATTCTCGCTGAAAGGGCTGGACTAGGTCGTTGGAAGGCAAGAAAATCTACGTTGCGCAGCTCACCAAGTAAACAAGTCGCAGTGTTTTGCACCATCCGCGAAAGCGAAACGCACTGAGCGGGAAGGCTTCACCAGGTAATATATATATATATGTATATATATATATATATAATGTGTCCATGTATGTATATCTACACCATGAAGAACAAGTGTTCTACTAATTCACGGCGAATACACGAAAACTTTAGTTATGCCTTCCAAAGTTCCAAAAAACTAACTCAGGGGCCGTTTGTTTTGGTCAAAACATGATAAGCCAGGTCCTAGACTAAAGAGCAACACAGAGCTTCTAGTCGTGTTGGGCGATCAGGCTTCGGTGCTGGTGTTTAGCTTTCCCCAGTGCACTCCCAGCATGTTTGAACACCTCATGGGTGCGTAAATGGGCATGGGTCAATTTTAGCCGACAAAAGACCTACATAAAGAATCATCTGTGACTTTTAATCCAACTGCTTCAGCATGCACGTGCCCGTCTGCCACAGTAGCAGCACCAGCAAAGGTCAGCATTCCTACCGAACGCCGTTAGGCCCCTGATGTCTTAACAACAGAGCGATCGGTGTCCTCTCAAGAAACACAAGCGCTACTTGCCTGCAGCGAGAAGAGTAGCTTCAGCTCAAGCCAACACTTCGTCGTCATTAGACCCTCGATAGGAGCACACTTTGACTTGCCTCCTCAGATGGGGATTAGGGTGGCGTGCTCTGCCATGTATCAACAGCAGGGCTTATTGGTAATCGACGCTTCCCTTACAGCACATAGAGTAGAGCAGGGAAGATAAAAACGCACGCAAAGCAGCCTGTCATGCGAACTCAGGCCATCTAGCGCAACGCTGCTCTGCGCCCAATGGCAGCCCGCTGCCATTGCGCGCGCACAAAAAAAATCTGCAGTCTAGTGGATAAAGCGAACGTATTCGCGATTCGCTCACTGATTCATAGGGCTCGCGACTACATGTCCACCCAGCAACAAAAGCATTGCAAAAAATAACATCAAACACTCACGGCTGTGCGAATAGCGGGGGCTCTGCTGCAAGTCATTAAATTTTCTGCTAAAGTATCCGTACAACACGGTATCGCATGCCCTATTATAACAGGTGTTAACAGTCAAATAACGCCCAGTGCAAGTAGCAAGTTGCTTATTGAAGAATTAATTTGCTAAGCGGAAATTTCATCCATTACGTGGGTCAGCCTGGAAGATGCACGCACACACGGAAAAACGAGGAGCCCAGGGCATACAGCGAGAAGACTGAAGCTGATCTAAAAGACGGAGGGCAAGACAATAACTAACAATCTGAATCCCATCATAAAATACAAGGCAAAAAACTGCGTTTAGATGTATTATCCTCTTGATATATGCTACAGGCGTAAAGCACTTTCCTCGCGAGGACTCCTGATGCCACGGATAGCTGCTCACTCAGCTCTAGCCCGTGAGGAATTTCATTTACGCTCTAGTGACAAGCAGATGCTGCGGACAAGCTTTCAAAAGGAATTTTACATGCGCTCTCTTCGTAAACCCGTGTAAACTGCAAGGGGAAACACTTAAAAATTAATGCACGCCAGCAGTGTTTGTGTAAATGGTAAACCAGCAGCGCACGAACACAGAGACAGTAGCAAAATAGTAACCGAGTTCTGTGTCAAAGTTCCCGGTTTCCTTTTCCCCTATTCTGAACATCCAGATATGTCAAAAGACAAAAGAACGGTGCTGGGGCTTGGAGGCTACACCTCAGCCATCCAGCAGCCTATTTTTTCCTATCCCACAAGTGTCTGTATCCCACGGCTCGCTGCTGAGTCGAGAACGCCTGCGTCATGTGCGCCCTTCAAAAATTCACCATGCTGCGGCTGCAGGGCAGGGAGAGCAGCGGCCCACAAAATAGTGCTCCACGCCTAAACACCCTCCAACAGCTGTCCTTCTAACCCCTCACAAGACGACAGAGGAAGAGATGTGGACACAAAGCCAATGAAGAATATTCCTCAGTTGGTAACTACAATGCGAATGGCCACATTCTGGGGGTCTCTCAGCAGCATGACCTTTCGGCCATATACTTCATCTTCTACATAATTGACGTTTACACTTTTGGAGTGGAAATGTTTCAAAAGGTTTTCTTCTTCTGATTCGGGACAAAGGAAGGAAATGCCCAAAAATCCACACTCCGCTGGATCTAAGTCGCGGTATCGATGCGTCTTGCTCGAGTCATTCGCCTGAAAAGCAATTCAGGCCCCTGCTTTAAAAGTTTGCTTTTTCTCGCTTCTCCATTTTAACTTGCAGCTACAAACCGGTCCAATGCGTGACTACAAAAGGCACCACTACATCCTTCCGAAAGGAGCTGGGCAGCACACAGGACCTACTTCACAGAGCTGACGCAATTCCAAGCCGCAACTATGCATACGAGATCAGCAATTGCCTTCCTTACCCTGATGCAGATGCAAGAGAAGCGTTGTAGCCAGAGCCAGTACTGGTACGACGTCTGGGTGGGGGTATCGCATGCTAAATAATACAAAGTGAATCCAAACCCATGTGCTGTTTTCTTTTCGATGAGCGTCATTCCCATGACCTGATTGCACAAGCACATGCAGAGCAACACGCTTCAGCACAAGTCACCTGGTGTACCCGACACAAAAGGTCGAAACTCTAAGCACAAGCGTCTTAGGCACCCATTTATCCTACGTGAAAGGCCAAGTATGCTCCCTGGATCATCAGATACGCCTAGGATCCTCAAAACTAATTCCACGTGGGAAAATGCAGATGGAACTTTGATAGGCATCAACTGTGTTGGAAGCGCGCCGAGAAAAGTGTAAAGTACCTCCTCGTAAAATGTAAGGGCCTTTTCGAGATCCGCAGCAACTATCTCGATATGGTGGAGCACAGGGAGTCTCTCGATAGGAAGCGTGTCGAAACGGATGGAGTGACACCGATTAAAACTCTCCTCTGATTCCCCAGCCTTCAGATCCTCCGCGGAGGGAGCGGGCAGGCAGCCTGAATCCACGAACACAATAGAAATACCCCAAATATGCACGAGTCACATGGTTGCAAGTGCTCGCCAGGTACAAATGCTAGTTTTGCACCCCGCTTTGAACTGCAAGTTTTTCTGTCAACACAGACCTTCCTGCGCGTGAAGCACTCCTTCTTCCGATGCCCAGGGTTGAATTCTGGCAGCACTAGGTGCGGAGAACAAACGAATTGGTACAGCGGAGCAACCTGGACTACGCTATTGTTCAAAAGACGCCCACCCTCGCGTTCGGCTTGAAACAGGGACGCCGCACTAGAGGAAGTGCTTGAGAATGAGCTGGTAAGGGCTGAGGGGGATCTGCCTGTGCCTTCAACCTCTTCATTCTGTAGCAGCAGTTCGTCAGCAACATCAGAGATAGAGCGCTTGTCCTTATCTGCTCCTCCAATCCGCCGCCTACTGGGTGGCTCAATGCTCAAAGAGCCAAACCGCTTCCCCTCCCCGCTAAGATATGCCTTCCTTGAAACCATTTTGTACTCGCTGAAGCATGGAATACACAAAAAGGAGCAGAAGAGAAGAAGAACGCAGTTAACAGGTCGGCATAGAGAGGAGGAATGGTCCACCTAGTAAGTCATACTGGCGTCTTCAAGCTATTTAGAGAACCAACAGCTCTGGCATTCTGTAGACAGACCTCGTGAACTGGAGCAAGCGGCCTCTAAAGTTTTGGGGGTCCAGGAAACTTGCAGCGTAAGCCATGTTCAAGAACTGGCCAGCTGGCTGTACGCGAATCATGTGCTGCGACAAATCGAGTGCCGCCGCATCCACGTCCTACCAAACACAAAGCGAGGCATCACTTCAATGGGATCTCTCATGAGCAAGCATACGCAGAAAAAGCCCGCCAAACTATCATCGACATGAACGCCGAAAATGAACATCCAGGAAATTCGGTCTGCTCTATTTTGTCGCCCGTTCCACCCACAATGCCCCTACAAGGATAGAAGACATATCAGGGGTATTCAGCGTGCAGAGGGCCTCGCATGCCAAAGAAAAAGCCCGGAGTTCTTCCGTACTCAGGGAACCTGGATTTACAGACTAAGCAATGTGTGCAGGTTTCTGCACTGGTGACGCGATTACAATAATTTCTCGCTCCATTCACAGATGTGCTCTCTAAGCAGTCAGGAAGCACATGATAATAAATGGAGAAAAGGACTCACAGAAACGCAAAAGGAGAGGCGACTGAATACGTCTGACCGATGGTGCTCATACGGCTTGTAAAGGCCCTGCACCTTTTGAACGGGGACGCACTCCAGCACGAACTGCCCAAAGGAATTCCCCAGCCAACTCTTCTGAGGAGCTGAGAAGGAGCAGAAAAGCGCAACACCGAGAAGTGTTTGATTTGCTGAGACTGAGAAGGACTGAGGGTTCACAACTGCGTGAGCGGCCGAGTATGATTCAACTCAAGTTGGACAGCTAGTGTCTGTACATCAGAGTGAATTGACCTCACGGTCACCATTCTTCGGCAAATCGGGGAAGGCTACACAACAAATGTCATACAATCTTCCAGCACTGAATACCATTCATTCGGTAGCATCCTCTAGAGGCAAGAACGATGTACGCATATAAAAAAATTACTTCCGAGCTCCCACTCTCAAACTTCTGTTTTGGCGTTAGGGGCTGACGTACGTTGAGATTGGCTGCATTCCCCCAATTCAAGCGCTTCCATCACGGCCTCTTCCACTTCAGAGGTAGAGAAGAACTCGAACGCGACGAACCGTTGGGCAGAAGGAGAAGATCCGACACTGGCGATCCTGCCTGATTGCTGACTAGCGAAACTAGTGCGCCTGCTGCCGCTCCAGCTAGGCACTCCATCAGACTCCTTGAGAGAGGCTTTGAAAGCACCTAGGTCATCCCCCAGAGCGCAGCCTGGCTCGATTTTGCTGCTCGAAGCGCTGCTGCGTTTTTGACTCGAGCGCATGGAAGAAAGTTGCGACAGTTGCTGGCTCAGTGCACGGTGGGGCAGAACTAGTTGGAACTCGAGGGTGTTCACGCTGCCTGGATGGGGGCCGGAAGATGCGCCAAGTACCAACTCCTGCATGCCCAGCCGCTTCACGTAAAAGTCTTCCACGAGCTGCTGAGGCCGCGAGCAACGCAAACGAATACCCCCTAGACGCAGAGGGGATTTCCTGGAAGGACTCTTGGGTTGATCCCACGGCCCCAAGGAAGCTCCTGAAAAATTCATAGGATGGATATGGTGCAGCTAGCACACACACGCACTCGAGAGTGTGATACTCCGCCTATATGTTTGGCGCGATTCCGCGTGAGGCGGAATGCGAGGGTACACACCAACACGCAAAGTGAACAAGAACAACCCATAGACCGCATTTCAGGCGCACGAAGCACAATAAGGCAATGCGGAAAACAACATACCAGTCCGAGGGCTTGCTGCGGTGACATCGCCGTCAGAGCCAATAGGGAGAATGATGGTTGGCAGCTTTTCCATCTCAAGTGACACTTGAAACCTCTATACGAGCACACAAGACCACCAGCACAGCAGATAGGCATGACGTTAGACTGGTCCAGTATTTTAAGAGAAATGGAACTCAACGTGCTAGATTTGCCTGAAACAATGAAGGGCAACACGAGCAAAAATCGCATAGTCCAATGATGTGTATCTAACCATGGCATAGGAAGTGACAGTTTGACCATGGTGAACTAATAGGCAGTAGTTGTCGGGGGCAGCCACACCGATATCAGAAGGAAAAAACAAGGGATGAAGAAAGAAGAGTTCATACGACTGTAGCACCGATGTGGAGCCACGAACGCAAGAGGACCAATAATGAAGAGAACAGGCGCTTTAAAGCTTTCCTTAGCAGAATTCTTTTGAGAACACGAAACAAAGAAGAACGTGAGCATAAAGTGGTGCACAGTTACGGGAAAAAAATCTTGACACGAATCGTTTGCAAGCGCTGCTACATGGCACAACGCGGTGATATAGACACGTCTCCTTTCTGGATTCCTTGTATGAAATCTCTAGGGAGGTATCTAGTGAAAAAGAGCTTTTACGAAGGCCTGAAAAACTACCCAATGCAGCGGAAGAATTGGGGGGCTGTTGCCACTCGCGCGGGCGCACGCCGCGTCGAGGGAAACTTTTCAGCGGATTGTTGTAGATAGCACCGTTGTTGCCTTTTCTAATGAAGAGGAGATGAAATTTATTTATTCGAAGTCTGGATTTAGCGAAGCAAAGTGCAGGAGATCGTGGCTTCAATGAATGACTGGCCAGGACTGCTCGGTGTGCGAATGGGAAGCAGTTCAGAACAAATGACTCCGATATTGGCGCGATAACGAACTTTATAGACACGCTTTTCATTGCTAGGGGGAGTTAAGAGCCGGGGAATGCGGATTCGTTTTTGAACGGGAATATCAATGGAAGTTGGTTGTGTTGATCCGTCCACGGTCAACAGTTTCATGAGGTGTACGTTGACATACTTTGGACCCATTGTTCTTCATAACATGAAAACAACTGTGGAGAGGACTGTTTTTGTGTGCTGCTGTCTTCGCTGTTGTGTAGTCGCCACTCTTATTTTAAAGATGGAAGCAGTGCTCACAGGGATTTAAAGCAATCGAACAGAAAGCTGAAATACCTTCACTTTAGCTGGCAAGGCGTGCTACTTCACAAAAAGTGGCTAGTTGCGTCAAAATTGTATCCTTGGTTCAGCATGGAACAACGCATTTGCCGATATAGCGCTCCATTTAAGGCTTCGCAAGGACTTAACTTAAAACGCAATGCACAATGAGTACGAACGGTTGAGTATTTTCCCTCAAGAGATCCCTGCTTCCCCTACTCCCGAACGCTCAAAGTTCCGGACAAAAGGCAGGATAGTCGGCTACGATCAGAGCAGATTTACCTCTAGGCACTCGAATCCTCCACAGCTCGTGATATATAACATCTAGCACGCAAACACACAAGGCGTACTTGCTGTATCCACTAAAACTGTTCTGCAGTAAATAGCATATAGGAGCATGCAACCCGAGTAGTCCGAATTTTAACTAAAGCTTGGCCAAATATGGCTATGTAGTACAACGGACTGGTGTAGCCTAGTCCTCTACATCTGCCCCAAAGTTCAAAGCCCACGCCCTCGTATTTCCCAAGTGTCCGTCGAGACCAGCTGTATGCATCACAGCAGCAGAGTTCACGCACTATCGCCACTGTCAACGCAGGCAGGAGCGTAGAACCGGGGCGAAAGCGAAAAGCAAAATAGACATCAATCGATAAAGAAGAATAGAAGGGAATAGCGATGCACGTAGTCAACAGCAAACGATGCACCAGCACAGGACTACGGCAATACCATGGCTTCCTGTCGTTGAAGCACTCAAATGTGTGAGCCTCCTACTACACGAAAGCAAGGAGCGCGGGTAGGGGGAATCAGAATACACACTAGTTTAGCAGCGTGTCCACGTCTTAATCTAATGTTCCTAGCCACTTGGCCGCTATTACTTGTAGATGCTACCGTCCCACGATAACCGAATGTATACAGGCTAAAAGCGCACAGCGAAAAGCCAATTAGCTTATGTCTCTTGAGACTTTGCGAGAATACTTATTTGCGCTAGACAGCTGTTCTCCAACTCTCCCTCTTGCCAAGAGTGGCTGCGGATCCCACACCAGCAGGTCCATGCCCAGATCAAAGAAGGGCTCTTTACTGCCGACCAGAGATGTGGGAAGGCAGCGCATATACAAATGTACTACTATGCTATAGCACCACTCAACATAAGGAAGAAAATCAAGCCTCTCACTTGGATCTTTGTGAGCCCACAGTCAGGACTACTGCAGACGAGAGCGGTTGGTGCGCTTTGTCGATCAATGCGCTTCAGGTCGGTTCGCAGTGGTCTAGTGATGGTCAGTGTGTAAGCTGGTCAAAATAGCACACTAAGATTCCGTAATAAAGTTTAACTCCCAGTGCTTCGAATTCGCAAAGATTCCAGACGTGAGTCAAGAATCTCAACGTTACTTTCTGAGCTGTGACAGAACTGACGCAATGGATGACTCTGCTGGTGATAACGTAGATACTATTATGACCCTTGACCTCCGGAAGTTCAACAACAGACTCCACTCCACAGTCAGATCAGTCGAAGTCCTGCCGGAATCCGAAGGCTTTGCAAAAGGTCAGGTTTCAGAGAAATGTGCGGCTTCCGCTGTTGACATTCTGGGCATGAGAGTTCTTTATCCTCTGCCGCCAGAAGTAATTTAAAAAACCCACGAACGTTTTAATTTTTGTAGTGTAACTTTCAACTCGGGCAGAGAAAATATGATCATTTGCTGTGTGCACAACACTCTGTAGAGAGGTCGGAATGTGCGTAAGACCGAGTCCGTACTTCGTATTGAATCACAGCAGGGCACTTTCAGCATGGCAGCGCTTTTTCCTTTTGTCACTGCTCTTTTTGTGACGGCGATAGCAGATGCTTGGGTGTCAATAGCATAAGGTGCACGCCTTGCTGAATAAAGCCGTGAAGCATCAACTCGAGGAGCGGTTGCACTGCGCAATAGTGAATCGTGCGGCTACGCGAGGGTGCATCAGCGACCACGTTGTTGATGGCCTTTAAAATACCTCGCTGTATTGTCGTTTCGTGGGAGGCGCAGAAGACAAGATAATTTTTTTGGATTATCAAGCTCCTGAAAATTCTTGTGATCAGTAAAGGCCGATGGCCGGTCTGGTAAGCAACATAACGCCCGCGTAAATAATGCCGTCATTTTTTTCACTGCCCATCATGCCACATAGTGTTCCTTTTCTTGCATTTAATCTAGCATTTCTGCGAGATCAGAGGGGCTCATCCTCAATTCGGTAATGTAATGCTTCACCCTTGTGCTCTTGTATTTTGGCATCAAAGGAATATACGTCCATGCTGCGGCAAAGGGCTCCTCGGTCAAGGTCATAGAGTGCGCGTGCTTAAATATGTCAGCAAATTGAGCAACAGAACAAGCAGATGCAGTTCCAGTTTCGAACATTCGATAATTGAATGCAAACCCTTGAATTTTTGCAATTTCCTTGCGTGTACGTAAAGGCTTGACTGCTGTAAGCTTTGCGGCGCCTCGCTCAATTCCTGCAGTCAACAACCAAGATCTCAATAACACAATTGTGACCATCAAAACATGCAAATGAAGGCCTTGCATACCACTGCTGCTCCTGAAACAGCTAAAAGCGCGCTTTTGGTGCTGTGGGTCCTCATGACGGTTGAGGCTGAATACTAGGAAAGCATCTACATAGACAGCCATACAACACTCTTGATAGGCTTACAAAGTTTCAATTAATGAGGCTTTGCAGTTCAATTGGAGCATTTACAAGTCCAAACGGGATACAGGCATGCTCCAAGCTGCTACTGCGAGTGTGGAGCGCCGTTTCGTGCCTCTCCCCTGGGTGTCTCGAAATGTCCGAGATTAAATGTTGAGCATGCTGCTAATCCATGAAGCTTGTCAAGTAGTTGGCGAAGTAGATGCATTGGAGCCTTCTTGTTCCTAGTGACCTTGTTTAGATGATTCAAAGTTTACGCATCTAAAGCATCTTGCGCCTTTTTCGAGACCAAGACCGTGTCATGCTGAAAAACACTGGTCGATTTCTGTACTTTATTCTTTTTCAACAAAGCCTTAGCCTACCACTCAAATATACTTTCCATGCTGTGAAGCCTTCTGACTCCGTGGAAGTTAAGTCGGACCTGGCCCAGGCTTTAAATCAACAAAGCGCAGCGCCAGCTTTCCTCGATTTTTATCTAAGCGCTCACCTAAGACTAAAGGAGAAACCCGGTTAACACAGCCCCAAACTCTGCAGGTCCTTAATTCCAATATGCTTCTTACTTTTCAGCCATTGACTTGGGGGCTGCGCTTATTTGCTCTTGAAGCCTCAAGTAGTCCATGAAATGTGAAAGTTCCACTGGTCGGCTGTTTACGCACTGAATTGCTCCCCACCCTGCTATTACTGGACGTGACACTGCGTGCAGACCCGCAAACTGCAGAAGCAGCTGCTTATCTACCTTGTGGCTTTCGAAATTAAAAAGTTAATGCTTTTCGATACAGCGCTACACTGCTAAATTTGCCCTATGAGCACGATCAGTTTTCTTAAAGCTGGCCGCTGAGCTGATCTCGGCGTAAGCCGATAAGCGAGAGCTTGTATGAACGCTTGAACTGTAGTAACCCCTGCAGGCATTCAACTCGCACTGCGTGGATAGAGCCATATAGAATATGATCTTTTAAAGCAAGAAACATGTTGCAATGGGCATTCCTCCTACGCTAAGAGGTGCAAAATGCCAGGTACACCTCCAACCGACAGATGCAATCTTTAAGTACTTAGCCATACTTACAGTCACCATATTTTGTGGCCGACCACCCCTCATCGACGCATCCATAACATTTTAGCAGCTCGTGAATCACGAAATTCTACAAGCTGTAAGGGCTTTTGCTTTCATTAGCTTACAGGCCCCATCTGCCGCCCTAGCAGGCGTTAGACCACTGTCAATTTCCATCGGCACAGGGCTTCTCCTCACAGACCGCTGTTTAGGGAATCAAATTGTTATATTACCAAAGAACTTCGTTGAGCGCAGCATAGTCTTGAAGGAAACCATGACAGCAGCTTGGATTTTATAGTAAGTGATTGGGCGATGAGCAGCGGCATCAAACCATGCAATGTCAGTAACTCGCACGCCCAATTCAAGGTCCCTGTAAAGAGATACACAACTTCCGCCTCAATACTATCTTAGCAAAGCTAGTGAATTTTAAAAAAGGTCACTCTGTTTTCCCTATCCGAGCTCGTTAAGTCTCCGGCATTAGGAAGGAGTGGCAGGCAGGGTTCTCGTTGCTGAACCCTCAATGCACTCCAATCTTTCACGGCTAGTTGCACATAGCATCGAGCGCCCACGCACACAAAATTGTGTTTTGTTATTGCCCCATAAGCTCTCTACAATCAAAGAGAATATATGAGTAGACAAACCAGTTAATCAGTTCCTTCCTATATCTTAGCTAAAAATGACTTGTGCAGTAAAGCGTACCTAATTCTGGTCTTGCCCGCTGTGCGTGGGGAAAATGTGGAATATAGAGGAAAGAGAAGTAAGGGAGCAAACGAGGGATCATTGAAATAGGCAACTAGGTTAAAGTTACAGGTTAGGCTGCAAACTGCATTTCTTTGTGCATTCCTTGCGACAATGTGCCGCCTTCCTCAGGGAATGCATGTTGGGGCATCCTGTTCAGGCAGGTTAAAAGAGAAGACACAAGTACCCCGACAGTGCTCGGGCACGCTTCTTTCAAAGGATAACATTGGATCCGTATGCCGTTCCAGACACTACTTCTAAGCACTCAATGCTAAAGCAGCCCCTGGCAAAATTGTAGTCTGCATACACTAGGTGAATGCCCTTTCGGGGCTAGACCCCGAGTGCCACAAAAGGGATATTGACAAAGTCCAGCTATGGAAGCAGTATATAGTGGTGTATCAAATTTGAGTGAGAGCCCTGCATGTTTTTTTTATTTGCCCCACGAAGCGAACTGAAGGAGCGGCTGCATGCAGCGGCCGTACCACATATCAGTGGCCACTGGCCTTGTATTGGCTCGGATCCTTGCAACAAAACTGCTCCTTCAGACCAGAAATCGTAACGTTTAAGCCTCAAAGCATCTGTAGAAGTCAACTTTGGTGGTCCTGTACCGTCGTTTTACCTGGCCTTGGGGCTAGGCCACGTGCCGCCCGATTAAAATCTCACACTCCGCGTGTTTATCCTTGGACCTTTGCGAAAATGTCGGTGTATATGGACTATCAGAACAGAGTTGGGCATAAGCTCGGCTCTGGTGCCCCCGCCACTTGGCAGGTGAGGGAATTCACGCTGCAGATGAAGTGCCTGTGTTCTCTTACCTGGTGTCAAGCTGCACGCGGCAGTGTCGTGATAATAATAACTAATTACAAGCAGGACGCAACCGACAATCGCTGAAACAGCAGAACCGGCAACCACAGTGTGCTTCTTGTTGCTTATAGGAGGCTAACCTTGAGAGGAAGGAGCGGCTTCGGCGATTGGCCCTCGAGACCATAGATCTGAACAAGGATCCTTACTTCATGCGCAACCACTTGGGTCGGTTTTTGCAGCGCCTGGGGCTGCTGCATTCCGTGATGCTATAATTGTTGTTCTTCTCCCTTACTGTTAGGCCTGTTGCTGCCTCAAGATGCATGCATCCACCCTCAAGGGCCGTGGCTATATGCATTGGCTGCGCACGTTAGGCAATGCGGATTTGGGGTCTATGACTTGTATTTCAGGCCAGTTCGAGTGCCGACTCTGCCTTACACTGCACACGAATGAGGGTTCTTACCTCTCTCACACCCAGGGCAAGAAGCACCAAACAAACCTTTCGAGACGTCTTGCAAAGGAGAAGGCAGATGCCGTCATCGCCCCTATGCCACTAAAGGTAGTCTTCTTGTTGGATCTGCTGCTGATTTTCTAGTTGTTGTTTCTGTTGCTACCTGGCACGAAGGCTATCGCTTCCTTGCTGCTCGTTTTGCAGAGGCTGTAGGAGCCTGTCGTGACGGCGTAAATATCTGCTGCCCTTATGATCGGGCTGTGATTATTCATCCTTCGGACAACCACAGTTTTGTATTTTGACTCATTGCTTTTATACATTTGATGCCAATTCAGCCGCTGACGACAGTATTGCTGTTGTTGCTGTTGCTGCAGACGTCCAGTAGCAGCGGGCGGACAGCAGAGCGCATCCGTATTGGACGTCCAGGGTATCGCGTGACGAAGCTGCGAGATGAGAGGACTCGTCAGTTTGCTCTGCTCTGCGAGGTCGAGTATCCGGAGATAGTTCGTGGCACCCGACCGTATCACAGGTAGGTGTTTTCTTTAGTCGCTTGTAGTCACGGAAGATGTATTTGTTATGATGAAGGCTTCGTGAGATTGATCCATTCGTACTTATCAAGGCATGAACATGTTACACGTCCTCTTTTCTGACTTCTAGGGGTGCCCCATTTAGAGTGCTCTTGCATCGGCAGGCGTACCCGAGTACGGATCTGAACTGTGGTCATTACGCAAACCTTGAAAAAAGTAACATATGCTGCATGAAGGGTCAATTATGAAACTTTTGCGCATCATACACAACTGTGCTTAGGCTAAAAGTTCGTATCATCCCAAAGAGACCCTTAGTTTGTGTTTGTGAGCAGAGCACTGCATCGAAAGTAGGTGTTGCACGCACTGCTATTCCATGAAACGAGCGCACCAGGATAAAGATGCGATTTCTGTATGGCTTTGAGTTTTTGTGCGCTTCATCTGAATTAGGTTTATGTCGGCCTTCGAACAACGCGTGGAGACCCCCCCAGACGGAAACTATCAGTTCCTTCTTTTCGCCGCGGAACCCTATGAGACCATTGGTCAGCTGGAACTCATACCTTAGGGCGTAGAGTCTGCATTTCAGGATCGTCGGAAATGTGCCGTTGGTGCTTGTAGCTGTCAGAGCGCACTTCCATCTTGCGTTTCCTCAGCATTTCTGTGTCATATCGGCCTGTTCCTCCATTTCTCCGTTACCTGGGTGTCGCGGGCATTGCCCAGGACCTTTTATGGTGTCATTATTTCATTTGCTGTCTTGCTTCTCTGTTTTTGTACTATTGTTTCAGCCTTCAAGATCCCGAACATGGAGATTGATAGAGAAGATCCCCGGCATCATGCAGGTTGGGATGAAGAGAAGAAGGTCTACACAATGCAAATCTTTTTTTCCGTACGGATATTGTAATTTAAAGGCCCGTAGTTCTGGTTTCTTCAACCCGCCAATCTTCTCAAGTTCGCATTAAATTCGCTAAGGATAAATGGCTTTTTTAGCTAGCAGAGGGACCAGACATAGGGTTTACATTTCTTTGAGTCCTCATCTACCCAATCTAATCAGCTTGTAGCCCGGGTGTTGTTGCGATCTGATTTTGCTGCAGAGACGGCAGCCTCGGCCTCTCCCAGCACTACCTCAGCGCCCCACGACGTTCTTGCCAGTTGGCGCCCGCTGGTGATGCGGCAATCTTTTTCGAAATCAACGGACCCGACATTTTTGCATTTTGTACTACACTTGAGAGAAAAAAAAGGAAGTCAAGAAACCTGAGTAGGGGTTATTACCTACAATCTTTTGCTGTTGTTACAGAATGTTGGTTTGAAGTGTACACGTTGAGCTGCCCGAGAGGAGCATGCAAAACACCATATTTGGTGTATGTGTCCACCTACGCGTGCTGGTAAACAGGGATGTAGTACGCAGATAGCTGATAATCACTACCTGGTCTCTAAAAATGTGGAAAGCGCGAGCTCATCGTAGCCTTATTGTAGGGTGGATTGTCGCAATATGCGTAGCACACACCAGGGTATATATATAGTATGTATGAATGCACATAATTATGTATAAAACGCGACGAATAGGCACAGGCCCTTGAAATTTACGGCTCGATCTCGCTATTTTGCGGTGAACACCAACCGAGTTTTTTTTGCACTTTTAGAGCTCTGAATCTGTGGCGGATGAACGGAGTTTGGGAGGAAAGGGCAGCTGAGGGTATAAGGGCGTGCAGATTTTAATGGGCGGGGTGGTGGGGGCTGAGGGCTAAGGTTTTGGAGAGTAGCTGTGTAACGAGATTTGGAATAGGCCCTGCGGCGAACGATCTGTAAGGAAGCAACAGCTGCGGCGAACCCGCTGGTTTTCGCTGAATTGTGGGGGTAATGCCATGCCAGGCGGGTACCAGAGGCAGCGATACGCACAGCACTGGAATGCTATGGAGAGGAGTCACAGACAAACGATGGATTGAGCTTTTGCGTAAAACTATGACGACGAAAAGGGGTTCCTTTCATCGTTCCGGCAGCAGGGGTGGTCTTTTGCAGCTCTTTGGACTATTCGGAGTGCGGGTTGTGCGTCCTTGGCTGCTGTTCGTGTTGCCGGATTTGTTCGAGCACCATCTCTCTGTGGCGTTGTCGCTGCTGCTCCTCCAGCCGCTCCCGCTCATGCGGATGCAGCAGTGGGGTGGCACGCTGCGGGTGGTGTTCCTGTACTGGTGGGCCTAACATATTCTCTGCAAGCTTCAGGACGTCTTCGGTAAGTGCATCGTTTATTGCTACAGGCTGCAGCTCCTGATGCAATCCCTCAATACTTTGTGGTACCCCTGAGCCTCTTTGCACGGGGCGTGCGCCGCGGCTGCTGCTCTTTTCGATGAGGTGTAACAGGTGCTCCCGCTGCCTCGCTGCAGCAAGGGATTGTCGCGTGTGCAATAGCCCCATAAGCTTCAGCGAAGCAATACGTAAACGCAGCTCTAGGGGTATTGGTTGCTGCGACAAGGCAGCAGCAGCACTTGCTGCTGCCGCTGCTGCTGCAGCTCCATCGACGTTTGCAGTAGCGGCAGTATGCTGTGGTAGGCGTTCTTCCGTGGCACTACTTGCAAACGCAGTCGCAGCTGCTGCTGTTGCGGCAACGGCCCCTGCTGCAACTTGCTGCTGCACCTTCGGAGACTCGAATTCGGCCGCAACGGAGAGCACCAGCTGCCAATCTGCTGCTGCTGCTGCTGCCGCCATAACTTCAGCGAAGGCGTTTAGGGGCAGCTCTGGTGGTACAGCTGCTGCAGCTGAGAGCACCTCATCTTGCTGCAGTTGCTGCTGCAGCATGTACAGGTGCTGCTGCTGCTGCTGCCGCTGTTGCAGCAAACGCAGCACGCCGAGGGCCTCCCGCGGTGCTCCCGCTGCGGCGCAGGATCTTAGCAATGCAAGATACGGTATAACGCTCCCCGCTGGGGGGAACTGTTGAAGCATCGGCTGGATCCGATTAAGTTGCTGCTCCTCTTGCCGCAGTTGCTGCTGCGTGCTGATCAAGTGCTGCAGCTGTTGAATCGCCTGGTGTTGCTGTCGTTGCCGGTCCGCATGCGAGTGAACTAGCAGCTGTAGGCCTTCCCTCCACCTGCCCCCGGCTGCAAGAGCCTCCGCTGCGGCTGCATGTATAGCTGGAGCGTCAAGCGGCGGAAGTTGTTGTTGCTGCCGCAGCAGCTGTTGCTGCTCAAAGTCTCGCAGTAAGATATCTACTGTGCTCGAGCTCTGCTGCGCTGCAGCAGCAGTTAACAGCAGCAGGAAGGTCTCAGTCGTCGGGGCATATGCCTCGCCTCCACTCAAGCTACCAAGGGTATCCTCAGCAAAGTGGTCCTCCCCGTGCTGCACCTGTTGTTCTTGCTGCCGCAACAAGTCTCGCCTGTAGAAGGAAAGCGCCAGCTGCAAGCGCCCCGTTGCAGCTGCTGCAGCAACGGCGGCATTCACAACTTGGGCTTTCGGGAGATACGAGTCTCGCCGTAGCAGCTGCTGGAGGTGCTGGAGCGTCTCTGGCTCTAGTTGTTGTTGCTGCTCCTGCTGGGTGTTTTGCGCCTTCTGTGCAAGGCGTCGCTGCAGCAGTTCCTGGTATCCCTTAAGACTAGCCAGCTCGCCGTACAAATGAAGGGCCTTTTCATGCCTGCCTGCTGCAGCACAGCCGCTCACAAGAGCGGCATAGACACTCGACGGTAGGGCTTGCTGCAGCGCTGTTGCTGCTGCTCTGATGCCTTCGTCTTCCTTTTCGAGGCCAGCAGTCCAGGGGGCGACGCCTACTGCTGCTGTCGGGGCAGCAGCAGCCGCGGCTGTGCGAATCCTCCTTCGCAGCTGCTGAGAGAGATGCAAAGCTGCATCAGCAGCGCCTGCTCTGCTACAGCAGGTAACGGCCAGGCTAAGGACTGCTAGAGATGGCTCATGGCCCTCCGCCTGCATGTGCTCCAACAGCTGCACGCAGGCAGGCGTAGATCGCGAAGCGACGCATACCGTGAGCTGCTACGTATCACACGACAAACTACCAAAACAAGGGGGCTGGCGCCAATGGTCAAAAAATAAACGGTCTACTTCAAAAAAGACCCTTTAGAGGCCTGCATCCCCCTAAAACCAAACCTCTATTGTGGCTTTGCAGCCCACCTTTAGCATTCCGTGTTGCTCTCCCGATCGTTCCAGCAACGCAGCAACGCTGTGGAATGTCGCCTCGTCCGGGGGGGCCCCAGTGGCCTTCATCTGCCTATACACTTCAAACCCGCCAAGAGCGTCCCCCTGTCGCTCGCATGCATGCAGCAAGCAGTTGAAAATCACGGCGAGGCGTTGCTTCTCCCCCATACCTGCCTTCGGAACAGGCATCTCGCTACCTGCGGTCCCGCCCCCCTGGGAAGAAGCAAAAAGTGGGGGCCCCCCACTACTCACGGCTTCCAACAGCTGGAAGGCTCGAGCAAGGTCGATCTGAGGGGGAGCCGCCGCACTGCCATCCTGCTTTTGTTGTTGTTGTTGGCTCTCCTGCTCCCGCAAGATGCTTTGGGCAGCGTTTTCGGTGCTTGCTGCAGCATGTGAAGTCAGATGGCGATGGCGCGCCCGGTGTTCGTACACCGCAGCAGCCCTGCTACTGCTGCCGCTACACAATGCCAGGGCACCACTTCCTGCAGGATGCAAAAAGCCAGTAGGGCCCCCAGAACTGCAGTGACAGCAGGCTCTGCTCCTGGCATGACATCTCAGGGCTGCTGCTGCTTCTGCACGCTGCGCCTGGAAGAGGAGTAGAAGGAGCAGCACCGACAAACGGAATGTTGCTCGCGCCGTTGAGCGTCCACGGTGGCAGACACTGCTAAACAGCAGCGCCTCTATGGCCATTGGAATTTATGGCCCCTCTTCAGCCAAGTAAAAGTACTAGCTGTGGTGCCAAAAAGGCATATTGCCACTGCAACACGACAGGACGCGAGGTGCCTCAGGTTCACGTGTACACCTGGAAGCCCATGAGCAAGAATTGTCGTGTTTAGGGTTTACTTCGTCTTATCGCACTGTATGTACGGGGAGAATGACTTCCCGTGTCGTGCGGTCCCTGTCGGGAACAACACCGGAATCATATATAGGCTGAGAAGCCCTGAAGAGTCGGAGCTAAAGGATCTTCTCGACTATTCAAAGGGGCCCAAAGTAATCAAGAGCCATTGTTAAGCCTAGGCTGATGTGATTACAGCCAGAAATGCGCTCTAGGGGCCTCGCGTCTGCCCCCAAGAGACGCATTTTACTGTTCAAGTGGCGCCTTAGGACCCCAGCACTGGCATTTTCCCAGCCCCCCAGCCGGGCATCCCGCTATACAAAAACCATCAATTTTAGTTTAGACAATCAAGAATCTGTAGTTGTGAAGGTGTAACGACTCAAAACTGAAAAAATGCGCGCTTGATGCGGTGTCGAGTTCCGCAGTGCGCGCCTCCACATAGGGCCTTCGACTCCATCCCGCCGTGCCTTCCTTCCGGCACGAGGTCGAGGCCAGCCGTCTGGATGGGGAAACTGCGATTATTCAAACGAATTCAACGCGGACTGTGGCGTGTGCGGCACTAGAGGCATTTATATTCATGCCTCTTCTGCACGGCAACCCCAACAAGGCGATTTCAACACCAGACACTCGACCGGTGCCGCCGGCCGCTGCGGCACTGTGGAGGCGCTATCGCTCCAGCGTCTGTTGGAGCATCAAATCTCAGGCGTTTCCGCGGTAGCGCTTGCGATGACTGCGGGGATTGGCGTCTCATGCTTGGTAATCCGAACCGTGTGAAGGCCTCCATCATGTATGGTTCTTCGGTGGAATTCGCCACTGCAGGGCTTCTCTTTGGGAGGGATAACTGCAGGGGCCTGGCAGACAAAAGCTTTGAGAAGCGGAAGGCTGCGGCTCAGGCTGTCCAGCAGCTCATCAAGCAACAAGTGGCGGTAGCTGCCTCGGCCGCACCAGACACCGCAGGCGATGAAGACATGCAATATTCTGCGAAGGGATCCCCCAGTCTCTCGGAAAAGCCACAAGAACTGCAGGAGAGCCAACGGCAAGACACGGAGGCCATTGTTGCCGTCGTTCAGAAAGCAGTTGCTGCTCTGACCACCGACTTCCTCTCCAGTCCTATTGCCAACATACGCAAGGGCGGACTATTGGGACTTGCAGCTGTTGGTCTCGCCTTTGACGTATGCCTTCATCATGCGCACTACGCACTTTGCCCTCAGGGATCGATTCCGAATCCTTAGAAAGTCTGCCTTCAGGTTATGGGGGGGAACCTCCTGGAGCTGCCCTTCCTAGCGGTGTGCGGGAGTATTTTTGTGCAGTCTGGAGGCCTGGAGTGCTGCTTGCTGCTCCTGCTGAGGCCTCTTTTGAAGTCGTTTGGTGATCCAGATCCGCGAGTACGATACTATGCGTGCGAGGTGGGTAGAAGCCGTTTCCCTGAGCGTCTTCGAGGCTGCTGCCTCTTCCTTGTCTCTCATCCTCGCTGCTGAGCGATATACTGCTGGCACTGACAGTCTTTCTGTCTCTCGCACTGGGGCACTCCTTATAGTCTTCTACACCCTGCAGCCCTTCCATCCTCCCCTCTGCTGCGAGGCTTGCCGCTTCCGCCTCCCCCGTAGAGCCTCCCCTGCATGCGCTACTTTGGCGGCGTGTGGAGGCTGTCTGCTGCAGAGTCTGTTCAACGTCCTCAAGGCCGCCAGGAGCCTTAGCTTGCGATTTCTGCCCGAGCTCTTTGATGGGCTTTGCAAAGTCAGCAAGGCACTTGGGCGGCTCCAAAGCTGCGCAGCCACCCGTAGAGAGTGCCCCTCACACTCCCACTTCGATAAACCTTCAAATTTTCTTCTGCGGATCGCGCTAGCTGAACCTCACGCACAGCCGGGTGCCGCACAGGAGCAGTGACAAAGCCAGAAGAAGGCATCAACACCTGGCCGGCAGGGGCGCTGCTTACCCCATTGATGTCTTGTGTTTGTGTATACAATATATATATATATATATACATATATATATACATATATATATGCGGTTGTGTGTATATATGTGTGCCTACGCGTGCAGCTTTGCGGGGACGTTGACAGGGAGGTGCGACAAGGCGTCGGGTTTGTTGACAGCCTGCTAAAGGAAGAAACTGCAGCGGCAGCTGCAAAGGCAGCAGCTGCTGCCGCTGCGGCAACGGCAGTGGGAGTACCTGCAGCCGCAACAGCAGCGACAGCACAAGGACCTATTACCCCGGCTTTCATCCATTTGCTTGTTGAAAGACTTCTCGTCCGCAACCCCTATATCAAAGTCTTAGCAGTAAGAAGCGAACGGTGTTTTTCTTCGATTGGTGTAAGGTCGTCTGCTTGTGGCTCCTAACGTCTAAAAGACACACGCGTGCCACTGCTGCCTTCCGCGTGCTGTATTTGCAGCTCTCATGGATTTCTTTGCTGGAAACTAGTACAGGTAGTACAACGTCCACTGCCTTTGTTGCTCATCTAGCTTCGCTGTGTTTGTGGCGCCTCCAATGCTGGCGTTGCCACTGCCACCAAGGCTCCGGAGCTGTTGCTGCTTACTGCTTTGGAAGCGTCATCGCAGCACACGGGGTTCATGAGACGTCGTTGGTACGTTGGTGCGCATGCGCATGTGTATGTTGCTGGTGTGCTTCGGCGGCTGTTGCTGGCCTTCAGGCATCGACATGCTGCAGTATTTGCCGCTCTTCCTGGGGGGCTTGCTGGAGCTCCTTGGGGATTCTCATCGGTAGGAGAAGAGTGACTCTTTTGGCTCTGCTACTGCGGCTGCAGTGGCACTCCGTGCAGGGGGGCAAGACGTTTATCTGGCCAAGCAGCTGCATCTGAGCGCGAGGAGCAGCAGCGCAGATCTCTCACCCCACCGGCGCTGCTGCTGTTACCCCTGCATGGTCTTTGCCGCAGGGATATTCGCCAAGCCGCCGATCTGTGTGTCACGAATTTCTTGGAGGATCTCCGCTCGGATCCGGTTGAGAGTAAGCGAAGCCGAGGGCCGCTGATGCGTCTGTTGCTAAATCTCTTGTCATAATGTTCTTGTTCCTCTTGAAGACGGAGGATATCCGTAGGCTGTGCTGCACCCCTCTGGCTGCCTGCAGCTGCACAGTGCGCGCAGCTGATGTTTAAGCTTTCTGGAGCTCCTGCTCTTCTAGACAAGATGCGCGTAGTGCCAATCCACGTGCTATGCCTTTGCCGCAGCGGATCCAGCTGTGGTAGCGCAGACGGCGGAGGTTGTGCTGCGTTGTAGCGACAAAAGCAACAGCTCCTTCACGCACCTGACTGCCCTCGTTTGGCTGCACGAGCTGCTGTTGCTACTGCTACCGGATGACACACAGCAGCGGCAGGAAGAAGTCGCAGCTGCAGATTCCACTCCCAAGGCACAGTGGCACCTAGAGGTTCAGAGACACCTGGAAGTACGTTCGTCGGGCCTACTTCTAGGCTTCGATTGCCCTTGCCTTTGTTTGGAACTTTAGATATAGAGCTGCTCTTTGTGTTTGTTGCTGGGTGTGGTGCTGCTGCAGCCGCTTGGCTGCCGAATGCTGCAAAGCATTTTGCGTTCCGCTGCGGAAGCAGAAGAAGGCAAGTCACTCTACACCCGTCTCCGTCGCTGATCCACTGCCGCGGACTTTTGCAGCGACAACGGGAAGAGAAGCAGCAGTAGCACTAGTTGCTGCAGGAAAAGTCGCAATGCGGCGTGTGGTGGTTGCGTGTGCGTTCACACAGAGATATCGCGGATGGCTGCGGAAGTCCATGCACACGTCATTGCTAGGGTATGTCATCTCAGCTTTCCACTCGATGCTGCTCTTTCTTTCTGTGGCTCTGTATTGATGCCGGTGGATCCCCCTGCTGGTGCTGCTTGTGCACCTTTTGTTTAGGTGTTGGTCTCAACTACTGCTCTGGATCTTTCCGAGTTTGTCAGCAGCGCTGCTCGATACCTTTTATCATATTCCGCACCAGCACCGTCAACGGGAGCGGCCGGAGCTGCCGCAGACACTCCCGGGGGTGCAGCAACAGCTGCAGACGACGTCCGTTCTCTGTGCCTCCAGTGGATGGAGTTGATGCTCGTTGAGAAGCCACATTTGCTGCAGCTGACAGAGGAGCAGCCGCAGCAGAAGGCCGGCCCGTTGCGAAAGCGTTTTTTGAGTTTGTTTCAGCAGCAGCAGCAGCACAAGCAGCCAGATCAGTTGTTGCTGCATAAGCAGCAGCAGCTAGTGGCCACTGTCCTGTACACTGCGTTGACGGCTGAGAGTGCTTTGGCACCAGCACCAGCAGCAGTAGGAGCGGCTTCTGGAGCAGCGGGGTCTGCAGCTGAGGCACCGAGCCGCCAGCAGTCCGCTTCCAGCACAAGGAATCGTGAAGCTGCTGGGTTTGTGGCAACAGCAGCCACCAATCATATCGTGAGGATGGCTCTCTCAATTCTAGGCCGATTTATTCAGCGCAACTCGACAAACATTCGGGTGGTCGTGGAAGAGCTGCTGCGGCTGTTGAAGGCAAACCGCTCCCTCCTGGTAAGCACAACACCCTAAGCCGCTAGGCACTCAAACCGTTGAGTGTTGTGTTGAGTTTTCTGCATTGAATGCTTACATGGCAGTGGAAGCGCGCTGCCTGCTCTTTATACGCGGCTTCTCGGCGTTTGAAGAAGGACTCGAGGGCTCGGATGTGCGTCTCGCAGGATGGCCGCGGGCACTTTGCTCTACGGCAGCTCTGCACCATGGGGGACCCTTGTGAGGTGTATATGCACATTGCCGTGGAGCTCCAGCACCAATATGAATCGGCTGTCGCTGCTAAGAAGGCGGCTGAATCGACGTCGGCAGCAGCGGGCTATGACGCAGCACCAGGCCAGGCCGCAACGGCAAGACGTGACACTCCCAGCACGCCTGCTGAGGAGGGAGCCGCGGCTCCTCCGGTATCCCCTGAAGAGGACTCAAAGCAGACGATACAGTTTCTGCATCAGATTGTCCAGGCTCTGAGCATTGACCTCTTTAGTGCCAAGGTACGAATGTGTAGGGAGTGTTAGGCCTGAGGCCTCCACAGGCTCGCCACTGCAGAACAGAGGAGCCACAGACCCCGCGGCTCTTAGGTGGGCATCAAAGGCGTGGCTAGCTCCCCCCCGGAATCTGTCTGCAAAGCAACTTAGCGCGCCGCTTACATGTCTGCCACCCTGCGTGACGGAGGCTAGCTCTGCAGTTCGTGGCAAATGGGGGATACGGGGGGGGCCCACCTGCTGCCCCGCCCCGCTGTTAGTAGGCTCACCTCTTTAGAAAGAGGGTCTGCGAAAAATGGCGTGCTGTGGCTTTTTTCGCGACGCAGGAAGTGAAGGGCGTTCGGCAGGAGCTGCGCAGAGGTAAGTACTGAAACACCTTGGACCAACGCATTCCATGGTTTCTGGGGTCTGTGGCATTTTCGCTTTACTGGGGATGGCTGCAAAGAGCGGGCTCCCCCGTCAGAAGGCGTGCATTGCTAGGGTTGCAGTTGGATTTAGTCCTTTTAGCTAGATGGCATCTTGAGCTTTGCTCCTCCTCTTGCTGTTGGTACGGCTGCTGCCGCCGCTCTGTTCCGCCCAGAAGGGGATACCACGATGTTTGAAGCCCTGCTGCCCACCTGGTAAGTCTTGCAACAGATTCAGCAGCAAAAAGGGCAAAAATATCATAGGATCACACGAACAAGCATCCTCTCAAGCCTCTCCGGATGCCCCTTCCGGCATTCAGTGGCATCCTCTGTGCGCTGCAAGCCGTTTTCGACTGTTGGGCTGTGAGATGGATGTGTCTCTCCAGGGCAACTAACTCCGTTTGGTTGATTGCTCTCTCATTATACGCGGGGCAGTCGGAGGTGGCTGCTGAAGTGGTCGCGCTACTGTAAGGCACAAGTGCACCTGCACATCGCAATGCGACGGCAAAGGTGTCGATTGGCTTCGTGTGCTTCGTTGGTTCGCTGCTTTTAAGCCCCTCAGAAGAGAAACCCCTTCCTTCCCTTCGCATCATTCCATGCATCTGTTTTCGCCGCGTCGCAACCGCTTATGACTTAACTTAAAATACCACACACACACACACACATACACATACACACACAAACAAACAAACAAAAACATACATACACACAAATACTCACACACACCTGATGCAAAGCGGCGTCTTGATTTTCTGTCGTTCGGACTCGTATCGCACTTCTTCTTGTCATTTGATGCAGCTTATCCCGTTTATAGAGCCTATCTCGTAGATTGCAAGGATCCATGTGATGGGGGGCCATTCGCGCTTGTATAGTAAAGCTGCGACGCCCTTGCTTCTCTGTTGTTTCCCTTCTGGCTCGCCTGATGCAGGAGCCGAGAAGACGGCCTGTCGGCCCTCGAAATGCTACAGCTGGAACAGCTCGCGCTGCTGCTAGACAGCCGACAATTCGCCTTCCTCAGGATGAAGCTCCATCAGCAGCCTCTAGACCCGCATCTTCTAACGGCTGTGAGAGGTGTGGCATCCGGGTGGCAGGCAGCGGCCAGTGTTACATCAAAAGCAGCAGCTGCTGGTGTTGTTGGAAATCAGCGCACCCTTGTCATATTCACGGCTCACGTTTTGGGGGTTCCGACGCATAATGGGGGGTTGTACATCTTGTTTAAAAAGGATGCACTCGTATGTCTTTGCACTTACGTGGGGGTGAGTGCGTACGGGGTGTTGAATCCTAGCAGTGCTCATCTTCTCCCTTGAGGCCTTGAATCTCCCCTTCTCCTGTCTTGCGTCGCTCGATGGTGCCTACGCAATGCTGCCTCTGTTACAGGTATTGGAATGCTGCTGCCCCAGGGCCCTGCCTTCACGCTCCTTCACCGGAGGCTGCAACTCGCCTCCTCCAACGCCTGCTGCTGCAGCAGCCCGAAACTGAGGTGCACACACGCTACAGCGCTCCCGTTGTGTGCAAAAAAGGACGAAAGCGTGCAACAGTTGAGATTGCAGCTGCTGGTTTCGCTGGAGCTGCAGCTCGAATCCCCGATGCATTGTGTTTTCTTGTGTTATTTCCGCCTCTGACATTTCCTACACCCCTTCTGTCGCAACATTTCTTCCCATAGCAATTTTTTGATGCCCAGGTTCTGATTGTTGCTGTTGTGCAAAATGCATGTGTATGGCGTGCAGGCCTGCTGAAGCCCCCAAATCTCTGGTTAGTCGCGCTCTTTCTCTGGCCGCCGCAGCCCGCGAGCATGTTGAAGACGATGTGGCTTCACTGGAACTCCAAGAGCCCTGTGCGTCTTACTCGTACTGTTTTTGGATCCGTAGCGTGCCCTTAATCTAAGTGTGCTATTGTGTCGCTCGCTGCCGTCTCTTCTTGTACTGTCTCTGCCTCGCATTTTTTCCGCACGCCTTCCGCAGAGAGTTCCTCCTCTTTGCAGCCTTCTTGAAGACGTTTTGCTGCTTCTTTGGCTTCACCTGTATCATCGTATTGGCGCGCGTGTCGTCACCTTGCATTCGTCGTTGTGTCCGTCAACTCTGTTTCAAGAGGCATTGGGGCTTGCTTGGTGCTGGGGCAGTGGGTGTCATCTACAAAGGATTGTTTGGAGCGTTTCTCTGCTGTGTCTTCCTTTGCCGTTTCAGCCTCCTGAAGGGCTCCTTGTGTGTGCGGGTAGTGCCCTAATTCACTGGTAGTTGGTGCGGTGCAAGAGACACCCCTTTATTTCTGTGCAGGGCGGCCTCCCTCACCGCGCGAGCCACGGGAAAGCTCCGTCTACTCCCAAAAGTCTTCGGAGTCAAGAAACGGGTCATTGTCGCAAAAAGTAATGCCCCAAAAGGGGCAATCACTACAGTCTCCTGAAGAAGGCCTCGACGAGGGGCTAACTGAACATGGCTCTGTCAAGAAAGCCTTCCCATCCGCTGCCAGCGATATCTAGACTCTGGGACAGGTGCCGTGCAAGGGGTGTACGCTGAAGGAGGACGGGTTTATGTAGAGGGGAATTAGTGCAGGTACTTTGTCAAGGATAAGTGGAGTTGTTATCGAGTTAGCCACACGGAGACAGGCAGATTGTACTCTGAGCGCTGGGCAGCTGCAGCCTTTCTCTCGCATCTTTCTTTTCTTCTAATGCACTATAGCTGCTCCCCCATCCATGGCATACACGCTCCGCCTGGTTGCTCAGTCAAGTGTCTATCGCGCCGTCTCAAGATGCGTGCGCCTTCCTAACAATCCGCGATTCCCCATATGAAGCTTCCGCTTTGCTGCCTGTTGTCGTGTAACAAGCTTGTGCCCTGTCGGCTTCTGTGTACATATATGTCCACCAGACATATATATATATATATATATATATATATATATATATATATATAGCCCACGGTTGTATAAGGAGGCCGTGAGAGATGCGGAGAACCTGTTGTATCCCACCGGCATATACAGATTTATGCGAATCTATGTGGCCCGGCCAATATCGCAAAAGCTCTTTCCCTGGTGAGGATTGTGCCACAGATTTGTCTACGGTACTATCAGTTTATCGGGTTTCGAGCCTCTAGGAACCACGCCCACAGCGAGGTGACTGGCACCGAAACGCTGCCGCGTTTTTTGACCTGCTTAGTAATGTTTTAAGAAATTAGTGATGCTCCTAGACCTTTATGCCCAATTCTCTTACTTGTTCCTGTCCCCATGTATTTTCTTTCTTACATGCTTGTTGATTGGGGTGAACGAAAATGTACATCACATGCACAGACCCCTTTTTCACATGTGGGCAGCACTTGTTGCCCTTCTTTCCCCCGCCTGTCGCAAAGAGCTGGGTGTGTTTTACACTATGTTTAGTCCCATTTCCACGTGAATCCTCCTTTTTTCTAAACGACTAAGCCATATGGCCGCATACGCACAAAGTCATATAACAGGGCCATCACTGTGTTTATCAGGTGATCAAAAAGCGAATTGCAGCAATGAAAGAAAGGGGATGCACCAAAGTCTCGTCTTCTTCCTCAGGATTTAGTATTTGTTGACATTTTAAGCGCGGTATTCAAAAGCCTTCAGGGCTCTGTGACCACACACCCCGAGGTCCGCAAGCAGCCTTCCTGCATCCGCCTCGGTGACGTGAACAAAATACTCGCACAGGTTTCACGACCGCAAGGCGCTGTCGCTGTCGCCTCATTTCTCATATGGAATACTCATGCGCACTACAATCAATGCCTAAAAGCGCAACTGCCAATAAGTGGAAGCTTTCTCACTGCGCGCACGTAGGATATCGTGCACCATGCAGTTTCCTCTTAAATCCTGTAGCCAAGCTCATAAGTCTCCCTTTTGTATTCATGATAGAAGTCTGCGTTTGGCGCTCCTCCACTGCAGATGGTTGCAATGGGTGTAGTCGACCCCTGTCATCCGGTCCCTCCTAGGCACTGTGCATAGCACAGGATTGGCAGCCACGAGAGTTGTTGCAATAAAGGACGACTATTCCATGTAAATCTTTGCGTTTCTCCTGGCTCAATGCAGAACACGCCTTTAACCAGTGGGTGGCGGGGCCCTTGTGGGACCAGGGCCCCCTAGCTCGAGGGGCCCCCATCACGTTCTGAGTTCGGCTCTACACCAGGAAACCGCCGAGGTTTGTTGGAAGCCTAAGCATCAGACCCAAGAAGCGGGCTTGAACGGGTACAGAATTCATGAGCTATTCGTGTTTCGGCGTTCAGCGCGACTGCTCAACCACGTCGAGCATCATGACCACGCCTTCTCCGCTGAGGGCCCCCTTGCCAGAAACTTTGAGTGACTCCGGGGCCCTTGGTGATGGTGGGGCCCCTCCAAGTCTGTCAGCTGGGCGTGAAGGCAGTTCCGGATCGCAGCAAGAAAATTTACGCGCGATTGTTGGGGGCCGCTTAAAGAGGATGAAGCCTGCTGAGGAGGCCCCAGGCATTCACAGCAGTGACTCTTGTGCTGCGGTAGCGAGCTGTTGCGCTCCAGCTGCAGGGGAAGCAGGAGCTGATGATCATGAGACCTGTGAAGATCCAGAGGCGATCGGGAGGAACAGAAGGAGCAGTGGGCGGCATGGCGACAGAATCCCCTGTCCCATGGATCCTTCGCACTGTATTTACAGCTTGCGGCTGCAGGCTCATCTGAAGAAGTGCACGAAGGCCAGAGACATCGCTTTCTCGCACTGCCTGCCGTTCATGCAACCAGGAACGAACCTACCACTACAGCAGCAGCAAGACGAGCAGCAAAAGCAAGGCCAGCAGCAGCAACAAGACCACCAGCAGCAGCATGCGAGGTACATTGAAACCTCAGATACAGCGGCGGCCTTCACCCCGCAGCTCGAGCGCAAGATTTCGAGAGTCTATGAACAGTGTCTGAAGTATCTCATGCAGGCTTCATCAAATGGCACACCAGCAGTGTCGGAAGATGAAACACCAGCAGCTGTAGCGCCTTGGGAATGTGGGCAGGCGTTGCCTGCTTCTGCCTTTATTTCCAAGTGCTGTGACCCTGAAGCCGATAGCGGCTGCGGTACCATGACACCAGACGCAGCAATGCTGCTGCGTGCTGCAGCTGATGCTTGTCAAGTAGCTCTAGGTACGGGGTCGGCCGAATCTTGTGGAAAAGGCACCCCGCTCGCCTCTGTCGAGGCGCAGCTGCAGAAGGCCCTTTCATCGCCGCGCCAGCGGCAGCTACCTCTGCTACAGCAGCTGTTGCTGCATCTGCAGGAGCACCTGAACAAGCACCAGCAGCAGCTGCTACAGCTTCTCTCCTTGTGCCTCTTGGAGGCATATCTTGAGTCGGCAAGCTGCGATCATACCTTGCTTGTAGAGCTCGGCGCAGGCAAGTCTTCGTTCCGGGGAAGCCTTGTGGTTTTGCGGTGTCTAGGCACGTCAAAGAAGAGGGGCGAGCCGGCAAAGTGCCTGCCTCGGTGATATTTATTTGGTGGATTCGTAAATTTTACTGTGGATGAAGAGACCTGCTGACTTGAGCCTTTCCCCTTCGCTGCATCGCTGCAGCAGTGCAGTCGTCGTGCTGAGGCACTGTCTGGTGGGCCCCCTGGGTGACATCACGATATTTGCGGTGTGTCTTTGTGTGTCTGAACTTTTCGCCTCTTGACGAAGCCGGCTTGAGGGAGGCGTTTTCTTCTTCCGAGACTGGATCGCTGCACTTGGCAACCTGTGGATGCGCTCTGCCTGCCTCATGTGCGCCGTTCTGGCATTGCAAGAGCTGCCGCTGCGTGTGCTTGCTGCTCAGGAAAGGGGGATCTCACGCGCTGGCTCGGATGCTGGTCCGCCGTTGCCGTTGCAGCCACTGCGCCGTCTGCAGGCGCAAAAGCCTTCGAGGCAGGTTCCTCCAGCGTTCTGCTCTCTGGGGAGGCCCCTCGACATCGTGGCATCCGCTGCATTGTGGTTGATAGGGAGGCGCGTCGCTACCGGAAGGAGGCAAAAGATAAATTGCTGCGCAATCCGAACGAGCCTAGGCGGCTTCACCCTGCTGCCGTTGCAGCTGCGCAAAGACGCAAGGCTGCAGGGACTGCGGCAACAGGTGCCTCAGCGGTCGACTGCAACAGCGGCCCCAACAATCCCTTACTCGAGGAAGCAACAGGCTGGCGATCTACTGCGGTGATGCAGTACGAAGAAAGCGCGCGATCAGCAAGCCTCCACTCTCCGACTGTTGGCGGTTCCGCTAGTGACGCGCCTCCCTTGGCTGCTGCCCCTCTAGTTGCCGCTGCTTCTCCGGATGAGAGCAGCGGATGCAATACAGACCGAAGCCTCGGCAGCTTGCCATTTTTACCCTTCCCTCCAGTGCGCCTTCGGATGGATATTTCGGATTTCTCACTCTCGGCGCTCTTGCAATATGTTCGAGCTCAAGGCCCTCTCCGCCAGTAAGCCTAGAAGTGCCCTGCAATACGTTGAACCCTAAAGCACTTGTGCATGAGAATGCCTTGTGTCATCACCCCAAGTCATAAAGCACTAACGGCCCTAAACTATGAGTTTCGTCAACGGCACCACCGCCAGATGCAGGCAAATGGAGAGCTTCCTCCCTCTCCCTGGCGAGCACCTGCCAGTCCCGCCTACTGAAAGTGACGGCTAGAGATGTTGTCTGTACTGGGTGACTTTCTGCAGGCCGCATGTTCCTGGCTTTTTCAATACCCTCTTTCGTTATGGATGCCGATTCGCTTTGCCTCCGCATCCGAAAGTGAAACCAGCAGTGGAGGCGCAGCAGCAGGCGCTGCATAACGGCGCAGGAGAGCCGAAAGCAGAGAAGGCACGAAGTGAAGAAGGGTCCTTTAGTGGAGTGGAGGGTAGCAGCCAGGAAAGCAGTCTCTCTCCTTGCTTTTCCGCTTCAACAGTGGCCGAGTGCACAACAGAGACAGCCACGGCGGCTGCGGCTGCAACACGCGAGGCCTCTGCTCCTCCTGCTGCCGGAAGAGGACTGCCGCATGGCCCTAAATCACGACTCTTGCGATCACTAGCAGACGGATCGACTGCTGACTTCTTTCGCCTCGCGGAAACGCTGGGAGAGGGCGGCGGGCCAAACATGAAAAAGTATATTTCTTATTTTCGGCAGTGTTGTCTGAAGGCAAAGCTGGGGTGGCATTTCTAGGCTTTAGATGTCTAGAGTCACCTATAGCGGATGTGCATTGGCGACTAGTGGAAAAACGTAGCCTGCTGTTTGCGCTATGAGCGATGGCTTGACACCCCTCCTCGTTGCATGGTGCAGCCGCTGACGGCGCTTGCCCGCTGCTGTAGTTGCTGTGCGAGTGCTTCGGTTTCCTACGCTTCGGGATACCTGTGTGGTCCAATGCTGCAGGATAGAGGAGGTTCTGGGCATCCATTTCAAAGGCAGCCCGGTGGTTTCCGTCCTTGGAGTCGCGAAGCACCTCTGCGGCAGTGGCTCGGACGTTGCGCTACGGTGTGTCTTAGTTCTTGTTGAATAGGGAGTTTAAAGTTGTGTGCTTGGGGCTTGATGCTTGGAGTTGGCAGTATCTTGTTGGCGCGCTTGCAGATGTTTTGCCTCCGCAAAGGATCGGGGGCCCTCGGATTTCAAGTTCTGCATTTGCATTGCAACGTGCTGTCACCATCGGTAAGAAGAAAAGAGCGCCGGTGGAAGCAGATGAAGCTACAGCTGGAGGAGTTGTTCGTAGCAGTGGCTGGAAAGGCCGAAAACGGAGCAGCAGGAGGGCAGCGGCAGTGTTAGTGGGCTAAGCGTGGTCACTCGTGGGATATGGAGCTGCCTAAACTTTGAAGATCACACATCTTTCTGGGGCTTTCTTTTTCACTTGCCTCTTGCGCTTTCGAGCTTTGCTGCATACTCGCGCCATGTGTCGCCAGCGATTTGCGCAGGTGTTCCATGGACTCGTTCGTCGGTGTAGACTTTCTTCTGAAGCTTGGATTATCGCTCCCGGAGATTTCCCTCCTATTCTCGCTCTCTGGGTCAGTTGGCGGCTGCTCTTTTTTCTATATTGCGCGGCGTCCTTTGCAGTGATCTTCAAAGGGAAGGAAAGGCTTCGTGATTCCCGTTTTCGGGTCATACACATTCAAAAAATGTGTGCGCTGCTCACCAGGTGGGCCACTGGGGCCTCAGACAGAAAGAGGAAAGTCGGAAATCTCGTCAAGAGGATCTTGGACATCTCGAGGTGATCTACAGTTCAGGCTGTAAAGGGTGGGGGCCACAAGAAGTATACGCGATCTAAAACCCTTCTTTGAACAGGCTTTGGTGCTTGGTCCCAATCCCTCTGCTTTATCGTTTCCATTGTAACTTCTGTGCTTCTGTATGTGAGTTTGTTGCGCTCTGTTCGGGTTTGCAGAGTCGCATGGTTACGCGAAAAGGGTTTTTGTAATGCGACCCTGCGCCAATTCGTTGCATCTGAAGAAACTCCTGAATGCTTCGCAATTACCGCTAGCTCCCACCTCTAACCCCCTCAGCCCTTTTTGTGGGAACCCCATGCCTTTATCCTGAATGGTGGGTGAATGTGTGGAGTTCCTACGTCTTCCGAAATATACCAAACTGGCTTACGTGATACGTTTCGGCCTTTACAAAACTAGAACTTGGGGGTCAGCAACTAAGGTTTGAAGTGTACGATATTCAGCTTTTCCGCGTTCGCTGCTTTACGGGCCCAGGGACTGGCATTGGGGTTGGCATCCTCTCGCACTGCCTCCTTGGATACCCAACTAAGGGACAACTATGATTGAAGTTGCACAGAGCATATTCGGCCACTGTCTAAGGCTCATACCAGGAGAAATATACAAAATATCCATCGTTGAAATCCAGGCATTGTCTGTTCAGAGGGCACTCTGGAATCACCATGCCTCAGCATTTGTTTCAACTCTATTCCACCTAAATGTGAAAACAGGAGCGCAAATCCAAAGATACTGACTTAAACTGTCTACTAGTCGCCTTCTTCCGGATCCTCATCGCCGTGACTGTCGCTTTTTCTTGAGAGATCAGCAAATGCTATTTTCCGCTCGAGTCGGACACGCAGCGTCCCAAACTCGTACTTTATCAGGTGCTCCACTTTCTGCGTCAAACGCAAGAAAAAACAGCAGTGAAAGCTTAAGCATCATGAAAGCGAAGAGGCTTTGTGTACGGGTGGGCAGACACATGCAAGTGCAACACAACAACGCGAGGAACCGCAACAATGCTAGCACACCAGGCCAGTTGTCAGAACAGAAGGCATTCGCTGCATCATTGGGCGTTTAAAGCTCAAATATTTCGCTCAAGAGCACATAGCGTCTTGGCTTTATGGCCACTTAGACAGGCCTTAACAAGTATAATCTGGTAGTGTAATATTTACTGATATTTTGTGTCCGTTTGCCTCGAAGACGATTTGTGCACAACTGTTAGCGGCTGCCTGCTGCTTAAGACAAGTGAACAGCCTTTTCTGCACTTCCTTCTGCAGCGTCTCCATTGAGACAAATTCTTTTTTCATTGCTGCTGTTCCATTCTGTCTATGGAGCCTAAAGGCGCCCAGGCAGATAGCCGCAGAGGGTGGTATAGGATCGTAGGGTCTTGCTACTTGGCGCGGGTCGCTCTCGCTGTGGTTCCACCCAGTTGAATCCGATCTTGAGGTCTCGAGGTCAACTTCCAATTTTCTAATGTGATTTTGTTCCTCTTCAAGTGCAGCCCGCAGCCGCTCTTTCTCAGTCTGTAGAGCATTATTCGTAGTAGAATGCTGGGTTTGGATACAATTCTGGGGTAAGGTGAATAAAGCAACGCTTTCAGCTGCTTCAGGTGCCCATTCCGCACTGTCCTGCAGTTCAGGTTTATCGCTTGGCTGCACGGTCGGCTCGAACCCTGAAGGTTCCCTTTGCAGCGATTCGAAGCCTGCGGCACCCCATCAACACAAGCAAAACTTCTGCGCTTCTAATTTTTTGTCCCCCCCCCCAAAAAAAGCACTGGCCTTATCCGCATTCATTTAAGGCTAGGGAAATGATATGAAAGAGCGGGAACGAACTAGCACCGCTGAATGACAGATGATGTATGTGTCAGTGAGTGCCACACTAATTCTTGGCCCAATAGGCTCTTCCTGCTCCAAATATTTTGTAGTTTTACGCCTAGAAGTCCCCACATCTGCAGCGTGACGCAGCTCTGAGGGAAGACAAGTTCAGCGCACCCGCAGCTGCTACGCAGATACAAAGAGAGAATTATGGTGTTAGGCACGATAATCCTTTTACAGACTTTGGAACATATTCATAGACACGCACGTGTGTATGCAATCGATGCATGTTCTTCCACATTGAATAGTTCTGTCCCTACGGAGAAATACCCCAGGATGGCTCTTCCGGCGTGCCAGCACAAATTTCTTCTAGGTATTTTTTTAGCATATGCACACTCAAATGGAAGTGCCAATGTGAATGCACTGGTATATGTGTGTGCACAAATGCATCTCGATACTAGTGTGTAGATACAACTGAAAAAAGCTATGCCGTTACCTGATGGTGTGATGAATATATGAACAATGCCCCTCTGAATGTCTCTGCTCTTCCTAAAAGTTTCCCTTTGGTTCAGGTAGAGGCGCCAGACTGCCAGTTCCTGCACCCTACGGGAGGCAGCATGCAAGGCCTCTTCGCGTGCCCATCGTTTACGTAAGTGCTCGCTGATATTCTGCAAATAATACAATAACCCATGCTTGTAGACACTGAAAGCATAGTACAACTAGCAAAAGATGGCTGTATTGAAAAATGTATGCGGTAAAAGTGCATCTAGAAAGGTAACGCAATAAGTGATTCCATCGGGCTAACCTTAGAGGCGCACCCAGCTAAGTATATGTCAAGCTCCACTTTGGTTAACACCGAAGACGTGGTTATAGTGCCAGCACAAACGAAAACAGCTCAGAAACAGTGGACAAGGGAGGGGCCAAGCGAAGGCGTTGTATATAGGAGCTTGGCGAAAAGGAGTCATGTCAAGGCATTCTAGAGGTCAAACACACCAAACGATATTTCGAGCTACTTTACTTAATGCAATTTCCATACATATGTAGCACACACTTTGCCTCAGATATATATTAGGGCTGCGGCGCACAGAATAATTGAGATGGTAACCTAGCATACCATGTCATTCACAGTCGGCCGTCGGAGTGTAGGCACATCACTTCCGCTCACCTTGTGTTTGTGCACTTCCAGAAATGCTCCTTTGACTATGTCATTCCAAACGTTGCAGATAGTAGCTTCTGTGTTAGATAGAAAGAAGCGTTCCTAAAAGCGCATGTTTCCAACTTTTCAACAAGAGAATAGGAAAATCACCTTGCCAATTCCCTTCCTCGTCGACAGTGCGTCGTCCTCGCGGGCATTGTATTGTCGCCTCCAAAACTCTCTAGGCATTAGCTCCGTCAGCCAAGATACTAAATCGGTGCTGCGCCTAGATGAAAGCAGCTTTGCGTTGACAACTGGTTTCTGCTCAAATCTTTTGGGCTGAGTTCTTATGTTTACGTTTGGTAAAAGGTAGATTTACCTCATCCAGTTGATTTACGATCCGCCCTACTGCGTCTTCTTGAAGAAGTGTCGTTCCAATATGTGCCACCCAGAGCCGTCGCCACAAGCGGCTTTCGCGTTCTTTTCTGTTTCATCCACATTTCCAAATCTTTTTGATACGCATTATTTCTGTGAATGTAACTTTCCCATTTATACTTTCGCTCTATCGCGCAGAGCATGGATGAGAGGATTCAGACGAAATATTGCCAATTGTCCACGGTGTGGATTGACATTTCTTCCCAACCCGGTGACTAGAAAAGCTTTCATTGATTGTGCTACGACCCTGAGTAACAGCGGAGCTCACTCAAGTATTCGGTGTTGCAGTGCCTGCTTTGCTTGAAGGTGCCGCTGTGCTTCTCTTCCTTCTAGGTCGAGAAGCTGCTGCTCTTGTTTCAGCAGCAGTTTCTGCTTTTTCTGTTGCAGCATACGCAGTTGCTGTTCCTGCTTAGCCTCTTCTAGCCCTTGTTCCATGCTTTTCGAAACTAGAAGCTTCACCAGCGGATCTAAGAGCTCCTCGAATTGTTGCAAATTTTCATCTGAAGCTGCAGCATCTCGCGTCCGGATCATACAAACTCAAGCGCCATAGAGCTCACTCAAAAAATTTGCGCGCTAGTGAACTTGTCATTGTTGTTAAAGCTGCTTATTTCTGGTTATGTTTTAGAGGCGTGAAGGGGAAGAAGAAAGAAGGGGTGATCAGGTAGAAGTCGTGCTTCCTGACGCTGAGTATATGCATGGAGGCCTCCTTTTGAATGGAGTTTCAACGTTGTCGCATCAGACATTTTCTTGCAAGGTTGCTTCTTGAAACGAGCCAGATAAAGAGCCTGAACTGCGCTCTCCTATGCCGACATAGCACAACACTCGTGTAAGCGTAGCCATTCGGGAAATCTTCTACCGTTGGTCAGCAAATGATCAGCAAAAAAACTACACATTCAACACAGGCGGACGGTTCAAAGTGCAAGGCATTTCGGAAAAATGCGAATCTGCCAGCGTAGTTACACACAGCCTATGTGCGATTTGTGGGAAAATAATCTGTACAGTACATAGGTGGTGTCAGAACATTGTAATGCAAAGATTGGCCTTCCCTCCTGGTGCCTGCAGCACCTCAGAATTCAGTCCATCGGTCCTCTGCTGACTCCGAGCTCCGCAGTCCGCATCGATAGAGCGAATATATTGCTTGTTGCAGCCTTCGGAGTAACCTCTAAGACATCCTAGGTAGATTGGGGTAGGGAGGGCCGTCACATGTGCATCGATGGTTCTTGGAGTCACCATACACTCCGCGGCCTTGGCGTTTTCTCGCTTTGTATATTCATTCGCCGCCCCAGAGGTTATCTTTAGCTTATTGGGAGAACCTGTAAACGTATTTTGGCGCGGCCATAAAGGCCAAAGTGTTTGGAAACCCCTTGCGGTCGAGCGGACATGCTCAGTAGTCCATGTGGCCATAGTCGTGCGCTGTGTACAGCTGCAGCTTGGTGCAGCACCTATCGCTTTACAACGGCTGCTTGCGGCAGTGCTTCCTGTCCATCGAATTGGACTAGCTGCATCTGCTGTAGCTGCGTGGATGCTGCAGGAAGCCGCCGTTGCTGTTGCAGCTCTAGAGTCAAATAGGGGAACAGGTGGGAGCAGGTGAGTACAGCCAGAGGCTGAGAGGGCCTTGGTTCCATTTCCTGTAGAAGCGAGAACAATATCTCTCGCTGGGGCTTTCCTGAAGAGTCTGCCACTTAAAATGACTTTCTCAGCAGTAAACGACCTGAGGCCAGAACAGTTTATGCGCCATTGAAACGTTATGCTTATAGGTAAGTTGCTGGGCTGGAAGGGTCAGGGAAACGATCTTCACTGGGTTAGCACTGATGCTAGGGCAGTAGAAAGCTGTGTCGAGGAGATACCAGCAGCTTCCAAGCTCAGCGGCAACTCCAACTCTGGCATAGACGCAGACTGCTTTTGCCTATGCCATAGCTAGCAGCAGTTGTGGTTACGCCAGCTAAGAAGCAGTTCTGAGTCTAGCAGAGGCACCTGGGAAGCAAAAAATCGGAATGAACCCCCTTATGCCGGTATGGTAATGCCGCCTCTGGCTTATTGCTTCTCATTCGTTGCTGCTTCTGCTGCTTCGTTGCAACCTTCCGTGTGTGCCCGCAAGATGGGGGCTCTGTACGCATGGACCCCTCGTGTACTGCGGATAGGAATTGTCCCTCAAGGGAATGCAGACGGTCTTTGAAAACATCATTCGCTGCACCCGCGTCAGGAGCACTGCGTATTGATGCTGATGAAGGTGGGGGATATTTAATTAGCGCTTTGGGAGCAGTGAAACCCTGGGACCGACGGGGATTGCGCGTTGAACGGGAATGCGGCCGAATTCTCCATGAGGAGTGCTGGAGTGACTGCTGCAGGGTATCCATTCTAAAGTGCGTCTATTTTATTTTGCTCTTTCAAGCACCTCTATCACTACAAGCGTAGAAGGCTTCAACGAAAGGAACACGCACAATCATGGAGACGACTGTCAAAGTGACTGAGACACAGACAACCAATTCTTTTTAATGCAAGGGAACCATACACCAAGCCGTATTCGGCACACAAGTGTTAAAAGGACCTGCGGTGGAGGCCGCAGGGGGAAAAGTGAGCGGAAGTAGGTACTAGCTATCAACAAGGTGGAAGCAGCATTTTTGCGTGAAATCGAATTATTCCACTGCTCTTCAACTCCTCAGGATCCGCATGGCCCTGGTTTCTTGTAAAATTAAGGTAACGGCCCATTTCGTACTCTGCTTTCCCCGTATGTACATGGATTAAAACTATGGGGTGGGGACAGGGTGACCCTGGAGGCACTGGCACGTCAGGCCTGAAGCACTGGATTTCAATGACTTCTTCAAAGCCAGCGCATTATAGTTTGGTCTAGATAAAAAATTGTTCTTGCTTTGAATTGCATGGTTAGGGGTGAGAGGGTGCCCTAAACGCCAATGAATTCGTAGGGCCCCATAATCAAAGACCCATGAGGGAGAAAAGGGAGGCAGCAATAGCTTAGAGTACATCGATTTTATTCCTCCCCGAGCTCAGCGAGACAAAGGCGTTAGTTTTTGAGTAAACGATCTGGCTTTTTGCATTTGGTTGCAGTTTTTATCGTGATGCAGGGACAAGCCCCCTCAGAGTGCTGAAATCGCAAAATGTCAGTGTCATTCTCTGTCTTACATCAGAGCACTACATAATGTTATATACCGTAGAATACAGCACAACACAGATGATAGACGCGCAAAACACAGCATCGCATATTTCTTATGAGTTGTGCTCTGCGTGTCATTCACGGACATGGATTACAGAGGCCGCTCGGCGGCTCAATTCTACTGGTTTGCCGGTACTGCACACACGTTGCCGTTTCTGCACGTTTTCACACCACAAGACACCTCTGGAGCTTCAACCTGTGTCATTCCACTCAATATCTGGATTACACGTTTTTAACACTTCAAGCTTACTCTTCGCCCCATGGAATTTTGATCTTCAGGCAGGAAGTAGAGCACATGATTTCGAGTTACATGGACGCCAAACAACTGACTTCTCGTCTTAGATGTGCTTCAGGCTTTGCAATTTATCTTGGGATATAGGCTGCCTTTGTTCCACCCAGAGACACCTCTGCTAAAGCTCCAAGCCGCCTCAAGATCACTGTCTATTTTGTTTCAAAACTCATACACTAGACAGCAGGACATTGTATCTCAACTTGCTCGCTTTGTTCTGTAATGAGAACAGACAAATTCTCAGCATGGTTCCTCGGGCTTGCTTGGGCAGAGGTGAACTGGATGAACAAGTGTAAGCAAACATTGGAATGGGTAGCTTCGCTGTACCCTGCCGACGCATATAAGTGTGTAGTGCTTGCAGAGTTTATATAAATCCATAATGCCAGCACAAATAACTCAGTATCCCGTGGCAGTGGCAATAAGTCCTGCAACCCAAACCTTCCAGATGCAGGGCATTTAAATGTCTAGCTGTGTTGCTTTGATTCGTGCCCTGTTCCCAGTGGAACCCATCAACAATCAAGAGACGCACCCTAGGAGTTAAAGAAAATGAATATTCTATTAAATGCCTCAAGGACATTATCTAAGGACATTTTCTTTTAATGCATAAAATTGTTTCGCCATTATTGTTCTTTTAGCCTCGTTTATGGACCCGATATGCAAACTTGCTTCATACGATTCTCGAACATTATGAAGCTGCCTTTTTGGCAAAGATACATTAAGAATCAATGCACGAATGAACGGTGGTCCTATATAGCGCCTATTCTAAAGACAAGGAGCAAGAATCACATTGCGCGGCGCCAGTTGATTCCATCTACTTACTCTGGTAACTCTTTTTTACAAAAACTGTAACGAAAAGCTCCTCCTTTCCTACCCTCGTTGTCTGTAAGACGTGGCTGAAGCTTGCCTAATTGCCTGTGGACACCGGAGTAGCCTGCTCTCCTGCCGTCCACATACACCTGTGTGAATCTATTGAATGAGTCGACACAATATAGTCCAATGGAAAGTACGAATGTTATGTGGCGTCGCATGAGATGGTTTTAGCATGTGCTTCAAGTCATAAGTTCGGCATCTGATTTAGCCGCAAATCACACTCTGTAAAGGGGAATAGCAAAACAATCTTTTCCCAATCATAGACGTGGGAAAACGTATGCGTGCACCTTTATCGTATATTTAGTTATATGCAGCGGCTCATTACGAATCTACGGCGTAGTGGCGAGGACCAGGTAAACGAATCCCTTATTTACTCTGCCTCGGAATGATCTTCTTGTTAACTGGATTTCCCGCTAGTTGCCTGACTTCTACTTTGTTCGGAGTCTAAACCTGCAGTTGAGAGCAGCCGGTGGCTATACAGTCCGTGTTTAGGGGGTTCATGCCTGACTTCTACATAGGCTTTATATTTGTCTGATCCCTTTCGCACAAGAGGCTCCTTTTTAACCTCTTCAGGTTTGTCTTTAGCCGACGTTAATGTAATTCTCGACGGAAGTGTTGGCCTTGGTGGTTCTGGACCCGGTGAGTCCACACGGGATACGGGTTCGGCAGGGCCACTCGGAGCACCTGAGGGTGTATCCCCTGGCTTGACACTTACTTTCCCACTGGGAGGGGTGTCTTGCTTATCAGGCTTGGGGACGCCTTCCGCTACCCAGGATCCCATATGGCCAGTACTCTTGGTGTCGTCCTCATCGCTCTCTCGAGGACTGGAGGGGCCTTGATCAGACCTGCGTGGTGTAACTGGTGATGCTACAGGACCTTGAGCTTCCTCAACTTGAGGCTCAGCAGCTTTATCTGAGGGAGGCGTTGGTTCCTTAATCTGCTCCTCTGAATCACAGGACAGGTGACAAGCTGGCAGAAACGGACATAGCTATCCGAACTCTCGGAGAAAGCTGTATGAATGCAAGAAGCTCACAGGACAGAAAAGCAAAAGGGCCAGGAGTCCGTCGTTATATTTCTAGGAGGTTTCAAGCCGCTAATTAAAACAAACTATCTGCAACACCTAACCTGGGTGAGACGCAGAAGGTCCTGGATGCTGTTGAACCTCCGGCTCTTCCGACGTTCCCTGTTCTGCTCCTGGCTGGGGTTCTTGCACTGCCGGCTTCCCTTCTTTGCTTTCTTCCGAAGGAACCGTAAAGATAGCCAACAGCACTTCATCTATGAAAGCGGGTTCCGTGAAGAAGGGCCAGAAAGGTTGAAAGTCTGGCCTTGGGATTCCTCCACAATTTTTCTGCAGTCGTTGCTTGTCTGTTGCTTTGAGTCGCTTGCTGTTTGAAATATTCGATAAGGTGTCTTCAACGAGCAGGTGGGGCTCTAGGACCTTTTCCAGGCTCATGTTGCCCCAGCTCATGGCCATTGCGGCTTTAACAAGCCCCATGTCAATTGGCCTCCCTTGTCCCTGTTCCTGCGTTTCACTTTGTTGCAGCTGTTCTGGTGCGCTTCCCTCGATGGCACAATCTAGCTGTGCCTTAAAAAACGTTTCCGCCATGCCGATGCTGAGGGCAGCCCACGAATAAACGATGGCTTTGATAGGAGTCGGTTGGTCGTAGCACTGCGCCAACATAAATTGCGCAGTTCTTGTTGAATGAGAAATATCACCCGGATGAGAGGCATCGATCAAATTGTTGAATGCGTTTCCAGGAGAAGTCGGATGTTCGCTGAAATCGCTGAAGACGCGTTGGGACAGTGTCTTCTGGACAACAAGAGCTGAACGATCAGAAGAACATGAAGTTAAAATGGAAGAATGGAAATAATATCAAGAAGAAAATTTTATAATCGTGCATACGGAAGGCTACGAGATGATCATGCCAAAGTGCTTTACAGAAGTTGCACCCCTGATTAGCGATAAGTAGTGTTGCCTTGATTTTCATGTAGAACTTATTCCTGAGCTTTTTAGAAAAACCACTCTTTTTTCGTGGAGCTGTATACTGTTTGATCTTACTAGCTTCCAAGCACCATTTGACGCATTGCTTCAAGTTCTTGTCTTTGGCGATGTCTGCGTCTTCTTCGAGAAGGAGATTGAAACGAGCAACCATCCATGCGGAAGTGTCCTCTGACATTCCTGCATGCGGGTCTTTTTCCATGTGAAAATCGAGGAATGCCTTTCGCACGCTGCGGTAAGTGTCTAGAACAGCGGCAGCCTGAGTGCAGGCCGACATGATCTGTTGGCGTCCAGTTTCTGCATTGGGACTCCGTCGTTCAAACAAAATCATCAACTGTTTAAGCACATGCTGCCGATAAGTCTCGGTTGTCACACTTGGGAAGAATCTAGGTTGAGAACATCCTGAGAACAGCCATCAAAATACATATATATATACACACACACGTGCTGGACAAACGGGAAAAAGTCACTATTCAAACAAATTTGGCAAAAGAGAGAACATTTTTATGATTTGGCTCTTTTCCAGAAGACGCAAGTAACACGTATACGCACTAATATGCGATCGGCGCTGTGCAAGTCTTTAAAGAATTCTCAGTGTTCTCACCACCAAATTTTATAAAAAGTGGCCGTGCCCTTGCATCTTGTAGCGCTGCAGCACAAATCAAGAAACGCTCCAAAGCTGATCCGTACTGGTCGATCTTACCCACGTTTAGTGTAGCCTGGGGCTCTTGCCATTATGGTGAAAGGTTCATACACCGCCCTAGGACAACAGCAGCCCTTAGACAAGGTATTACAGATGCCCTTTGCACTTACCAATGCAGCTGCTCGCAAAAAGCAGCAAGCTAAAGGCGATGCACAGTCTCCTCATTATCTGCCTCTGGAAGGCGAAGTTTGCTTGCCGCAGTGATGGGACTGATGGAACTAATGAACTTGTAGTAAAGTGCAAGCGAAAGGCCCTCCAGCACTGTTGCACACTCTGAGGAAGCACGATACATAGCCATATGAAGGGGTCACTATGTGACGGAAATATTCTGCTTCTTCACCAGCATGACAGTCCCTGTGCTATTTTGCGACAGCGGTAGGTCCGTTGGTCCAGCCTTTTGAGCTGCTTAATTTCAGAGGATAGTCAGTCAGGACGGCAAACCATCACGCGCAGCTCATGTATTTGGTTTGCTTTGCAGACTTTTCCGTCGGCTTGAGTGGTGCGTAGAGCTGTTGTATGTGTTACAGCTAGACCCCATGGTTAGTTTTGCTGTTCTAAGAGGATTATCTTAAGAATGAAGAGGACATCTTCCTCACCTGAGGGAGCTCCTGTGGATCATTTGGAACAGATTCAATGAGCAAATGCACCACTTATTTTTGTAGACTCGAACATTTTCGAGCACTAGTAAGGTGGGCCCGCCACTGCAACCGACAGAGTGACTTTTACTCCGATATTTTCGTACAAGGCCAAGCGAGAAGAAATGCGCAATGTTTCGCTTGTCAACTCAAAAAATAAATATTTTCAGAAGATAACAAAGGAATCAGTGTTCTCGTACACAGGGAACAACGAAGCGCCATAACCGGGGGATCCCCCTCTGCCGTCAGGGCCTCAAAGAATGCCCGTCCCGCTCCAGACACTCACCCGCTACGATTGCATTTTAGGTAAAGAACTAGTTGCAACGGAAGATTCAAGCCAGATGTTTAAAGGCAAATGGTTTAGTTATGGGGTCATTGACGCCTAAGGTTGTTCCATAACTACGGGGGTTCTACAAGATGTACACTCTGCGTCAGCGATCTCTTGAGAACCAGCTGGTCACATGGCCGATTCTTAGCGCGTCTATCCGTTAGCCTTGATCTTTGCTAGTCTAAGATATTTAAAAGATCGATTTCTAGGGAAGTTATCATTTCCTAGTTCTCTGATGAGCTCTGGCACGATTCCGTGGCAGCCCTACAGTTCTCATGGTTACGCCGCATCCCCAGCATCCTGATTCTTAGTTCTTGTCCATAACTAGTTTTACATATTAGGTCTATTTATGACAGTAAAAGCTCTTCAGCCATGTCATACCTTAGTGGTAGCTTAGGGATTTTTGCGAGAAGAAGGAAGGGTAGATCCACCTCTGAATAAATTTCGTAGCCCGTCTTGAAACATTCCTGTATTACATATTTCATGTATTTCATCTTTAATAAAATTAAATTAAAGCGAAGCAATTTTTTAAATCACCGGTAACCGTAAACAATAGAGAAACACAGGCTTCCTGCAAAGCTGACTTTACAGCTTTTAGAGATAAATGTGACGCTTGCATTCCCGCAAACAGATGCCCATCAACAAAACGTACATGAACAAGAAAGATGTTGCTCATTTCCACTATTTACGTATATCTCTCGCCTTGGCGAACTCGTGCAGAAGTCCACCCAGAGAGCAAAAATTTTGATGTACTTTACCTACAGTTCCTCTTGAAAAAGCTTGCTGTGGACGCGTGCGTGTGTGTATTCGAGGAACTGCTAGCACTAGTGTCTTCTCTGTATTCAATATCCTGAGTGGCAGCCTCTATATATGCAAGACTATGAAAAGCACCAAGAACATCTGAATGAAATTCTACGGTGCCCGAAATGTTCATGGTCTTCGCCACTTCGTGGTGCGAGTGTACAACTCAATACTGCGCGCAGTCTTTACATGTGCATGCGTGGCTCGGTGTCTCACCTTAAAAGGAACGGCAACCGTTACATTTCGCATACAGATTTTTACGGTAACACTTTAAGCATCAAACCCGGCACAAATAATTATTAAGCATCATTCCCAAAAGCTGTCCGCTCCATCCCTGCTCTTAGCCATTAAGCTAGCTGCATGAAGGCAGAAAGCTAGCTAGGATGTGCTTTTCTGCACTACCTCTACACTCCGAGAGTTCGTTGCTAGTTGCATGGGGGCATTTGTGGACAGGCGCACAACATTGATCCTTCCAACATTGAGTCAACACAACTCTGCAGTGAACAACATATGCAAATAGCCACAAGTTTGCCGACATTACAAATTCCTAATCAAATACAACTGCTTTGGTAGAAAGCGTCGAAGCGTGCTGCCTACCATGCTACATAGAAGAGCTCGCTTATCTACGGTGGTCTTGAAAAGGTATTGCAGTGGTGCAGTGACCATGATGTCGGGTATCCGTTTCTCCAGAAAATCCGTTGGTTTTTGCCTCCACTTTCTCTTGAGAACTTGGATTTATATTTCAGCGATGCTGGTCTTTACCACTATAGAGCAGGATGTGCTTTACTGAGAGTCGCCAGTGTTGAATTAATCGGTCACGTTATTTTGTTCTCCATTAGATTGCATGCTCACTTCTTTATTTTCGGGTTATATCGCCTTGGTTCTCAGTGTCGGTTTTGCTGTTGCAGCTATTCAGAGGGTCTTTGAACGTTCTCCTAGCTGCATTATTACGGTTCATCCAGTCCACGGACCATGAAAACAACAGAACTAAGCCTGGTGAAAATGTTCTTTCGGACATTGTCAACAATAATATATCCTCCAGAGAGCCGGGGCCCTTCGAACATTCTACCCCAACCAGAACGGTACAATAAGGCATTTGGCCGTCTTACGAGGGCTCAATTTGACAGCGAAAGTGTATAACCGGTGCACAAAAGGCAAAAGGCTTCTTATTTCATCAGGATTTGATAGCGTAAAACCTCTTTCCTGGGCAAGGGTAATGAACTCCATGCAAGCATACGCATCCGACAGCACAAACAGATCCTTTGATCTACGAGATCCCTTTACATTGTCGCTTCACTTTCAGAAGCTGCACCCTCATCGTAATATTTTGATCAGCAGGCCCCACCCTGTGCTTGTTGTATGGATGCAAAATCACTCGTGTGCTTTGGGAGTAGCCACTATCTCAGTTCGGCGTGTATGAGGCCACTATTTCAAACATATTATTTCCGTAAAACAGAAAACACAAAAATATAGGACCAATAGTCCAGGAAGGCTCCCCTTTTAACCCCAGAGAGCAAATCATTCGCGCTAGCAGTATCGAGTCACGGACATACAGGTGCCTTGTTTTGTCTCATCATCTTCCCTTTGGATCCCTTTTTCTACAATATCAGCATTAGCTTCCTCCAGCTGTATCTTTACTGTAGTTGAAAGCCTCCGGAGGGCTCGTTTCGTTTGCAAGCTGGGTGGGCAGGCAAGGGCTCCACTGAGGGTCCTGGGCTGTGGGCCCCCAAGGGCCCCTGTACCCTGCTTTCACCGCCTAGGTTCTTCCCACTGATAACTTTGCTTCTGAGGGATGTAAAGGACTTATTCAAGTGCTTAATAGTTTCTGTTGCCACAGTGAGGAGCGGCGTGTCTTCTGGAGGTCGTCAGCACCCGGAGGAGTGCGGGCTCCCCTTGCGTTCGTGCCGCCCTCATTGTGGGCGACGGCTTCTGAGTCCACAGCAGCAGACGCAAAGACAGTTGTAAGATGATTGAAGAGGAGGCGCCGAGGGCAGAAGTGAAGAGGGCAGATCGGCTGCAGGGGCAGAAAGTTGTTGTGGTGCTTGAGGATGCGTAAGTTGAGGCACTTTTCACGGAGCAACTCTGCATTCCATTTGTCCTGACACACCCTGGCTGGCGCATTGACTGATGTGTTTCCCTCGACGGTCAAGTGTGAAAGCTCACCAATGAGCAGAGTGAGTGCCCTTATCGTCAAGCGGTTGCTTCCATGCGAATGATTGCGGACTGCAGCGTGCTGGAACTGGCAAAGGGCAGGGAGGGATCACTCCAGCTGCTGGAAGGGCTGCAACACCGCAGGCTGCTACAGCATGAGGAGAGAGACACCACAGTGAGTGACCTGAAAGCATGGCCTTCCTATTGGCACAGGCATCTTGAACAGATGCATCGCAAGGCTCCAGAGCGGAGTGCGTCTGATGCCTCAACCGGCAATGCGCGCCAGAATCTAAAGATCTCATGCAGCCTCTTTGTTTCTAGCATTATCTGCTCCTGGCTCCCCATGTTCGTTATAACTTTGCCTACGAATATTCGCCTTCCGAGGACCTGGCTGCCAGCCGCGATCCGTGGGGATGTCGTGGAGCTTCGCAGTGTCTCTACATAGCGACTTGTTTGATGCGCCTGTGGTATTTGCACCTGCTGATGGGATCCTTCAGGATGTGCGACCTGATATAGCGCATCAGTGCCTAATGGCCCTTCAGGAATCGCCACTTAACAGAGTGGGAGAGCACGTGTTTTCACCAATTCCATGTGTTTGCCGTCCTCTGCCCTCCCTTTCCACTTCCTCGAAAGCTGTTGTACTGCTCATCTCCACCGATTTGGCAGTAGTGTGCGCGTTGCTCGGTGTTCCGGAGCCTCCTCCTCAACTTTGTCTCCCTCTTTGCTGGCGACTTTTTTCATGGGCGTGATATGGGGCCCCTCGCTGGGATCCCGGGAACATCTTTGCTGCTGTCTGGTCGTTGGAGCCTCTCCTTCTTCTCCCCTCAGCAAGGGCCAGACAGCCGTGGATGGATGGTGCCTTCGTTTAGCGGCTGCTCTTGGCAGGCGCCTGCCGCTTGCCGAGGCGAGAGGCACAGACGCGACGGTTCAGGTGGCTTTTCTGCTGGCTCCCTCAGGCAGGACGGCTGTGTGTCTTCGTTCGAACTAGGGATCGCCAGCTCATCGAAGTGCACCCGCAGCTGAGGGTGCCTCCGACGTACGAGGAGTTCCGCAAGCTCATGGGTAGGGCAGGCATTGGCCTTAAGAGTAGGCGCCTCCTCGCTATAGCGGTGAAGGTGTCGAAGAGTCTTCGCACGATTGCGAATCTGCGGGGGGGGGGGGGAAGGGTGGAGGCGTTGAGGCGTCCTTTGCTTTCGCTTGTTTTTAAGGGACCGGCTACTGGTCCGCACATGCATACGCGTGCAATACAAGCAGCTTTGAAGGGACCCTCTTCACAGAGGGGGCGTGGGTATTCTTGCCTGTCATTCTTGACAGAAGGGAAGCCCTTTTGAAGACGCGCCCTAAGATCGTTCGCGTGCGATGTATGTATGCGTGTATTCATCTATGTGTGTGTATGTATATATCTATGAATATGTGCCTGTATGTATGTATGTATGTGTGTGTGCTGTTGTTGGCTTGCTTGTGGAAACACTGTGCAGTGAATTTGCTGCATACGCGGCGTATTCGGGCCGTGGAAAAGAATGTTACGCTTCTGCAAGTAAGAGGAGACCCTTCTTGCTGAAAATCCCTGGTTTGCTAGACCCCCTTTTAAATGCCTTGGGGCGTAGCATACAGTCGGCTGCTAATACACATCCTAGGGGATACTGCAGGAAGTCGGTGTTTTGTGCTTTTGCAGATTATCAAGAATGATCCGAATCTTTTCCTGCCCGTCAGCTGCCGAAAGATTGGTGCGCTTGGACTTTTGAGTTTGCCTCTTTGCACTTCTCTGTGTCCTTTCCAGTGAAGCGCCTTATCTTTCCTTGGTGCTAGCAGTGCGTCCTGCGGTTCGAACACCAGCAAGGCTTTGAGTGCCACTTTGGCAACGAAAATGCCCGCTCAGAGACGTCTTTCTGGCTTTCGTTGTGGGCCTGTTTTCTTAGCCTTTTCAGCGAAAGGCCACCCTGTGGACCTCGAGGCGTTCGTGCAGCAATTTAAAGAAACAAAGCACCCCGTTGTCTTCCTTGTAGGGGCGGTGGCGCACACTAATCCAAGTGAGCTCTTAACACGCTGTTGCGCCTCGCGGCTCCTGTCTTCGAGTTTGATGTATGCACCGGGGTCCTTCGTTGCCTCGTAAGAGATTCGTCGTGGACGCCTCCAAAACAGCTAAGGCGCAATCAGGGCGATGACCCTTTTGGCTTTTTTTTGAAGAAGCGGCAGTTCCCATCTGCCACATCTAAGCTGCTGTTGCGGACATCATTCATAAATTTTTCATGTTTTCGCCCTTTTTGCTCCTTGCAGACAGCTGGATGCTCTCGGTGGTGTTCCATGCCATGCTTTTTCCTCTTGTGCGTACACCTGCACGATTTGCTCTTTGCATGTCTCTCTGCTGCATCTTGCGTCGTGCTGGTGCTTTTCAGCTGCAAACAGTGAACTAGCCGAAGAGTGCGTCTCCATTGCCCCTTGCGGTCTCAGCGCTGGGGTAAGCGAAACAATTTCGGAGGAGAAGGGCAAGGCTTTGTCGTGTTTTTCCTTTTGCATCTTTGTGCTCAGCGTCCACTTTGGGGTATGGGGTCTGAAAGTGCTTTTGTTTGTGTGCATACGCGAATCTTGCGGTCCTTCTCCGCACGGCAATTTGACAGTCCTCCTAATGAGGACTCTCCACGGATCATGCAAGACGTGCCTTCTTTGGGCTGTACCTACAGCCGGCACAAGGCGCGCACACTCGCACACAGGTATTCAACGTGTGCGCGATGTGCTGGTGCCACGCACTCTGCGTTGCCTGCAGGTCTGCTGCAGCAGCATTTGCGCGGAATTCGAGAATCTCTGGGACATTCACTAGATTGAGCAATAGAGACGCCGCTCAGAGTATGCTTTTCGTCTTTTTTCATCTTACATTTCGCCATCTTTCGTTTTATCATGTCCTCAACGGCTTCATGATGCTCATTTAGAACAGTGGACCACACAGGCCTTTTGGCGTGTCCTTGTCAGTACGCCCCTGATTTTTGGTTATTGTATTGACTACCTAAATATCCCCATCTTTTTGAAATCACTCTGAGGTCTAGACTGACCCTGAGCCATCAGTGCAACTAAATTGTCTATACTTCCCAACATCCGGGGTTGGACAACATTCCCGCGAGTGTCAAACAATATGAAGAGCGATCGCATAAGCTGTTGGATAAGTTAGCTTCAGCGTTTGCCTAGCATATCTGCATCGATACAAAGGCTGTGTGTGCCCCAGTCGGTGTATTTTAGTGTTAGGGCACGCCGCCTATCCCCTCTTGCATTCACACGGTGTAAATGCATGGTGTGGTGCTCAGCTTGCGCCGCACTTAACCCTAAACGCCCTAAAGCATGAACCCTTCATCGCATGGCCCGTAGTTCACTAAAAATCTTTTCCCCGAGAGGCGGACAATTGGAAAATGTTAAACATAACTGCAGTGAATGCCAACAAGCTCGGGCGGAGCTCAATGTACTTCGCATGTAAGATATAGACGACCGCCGCACCTGCATGCATCACTCCACAGTTCCTCGCTTGCGCTGTACATACAGGTCTGGCTCTAACTAAGGGCCTCCAAAAGAACTGACTAGTCATCCGGCAATCAAATACGTTTGCTAGCCATCCAACCAGTTCCCCATAATCTTGGGAGCCACCATGGGTGGGTTCCCTGTTGCCGCTGTGTGCGGTCTTAATTCATGATTCCGCTTTCTCAATTCAAGAGAGGCGCATCGGATAGATCAATGCTCTGACAGATTGGGCAGTTGTTTTCGTCGTGCCCATCACCGATGTCGCAACCGCACCGCTTGCTGAGGTACTTGCTCGTTTCGTCCACAGCGGTCATGTCGCAAGGTGTGACAGTGCGCGCTTTTCTTCCCCCGTGAGCGGCTCCGTACTGCGGCTCTTCAGCCATTTTATGCATTGGGCGAGCCGTCTCCATTGTGGCTTCGCTCGCTACATCCTCTGCAACCACTTCCTTTCCCCCAAATTCAAGCTCGGGATGCCCCTCTTGGGGTTGCTTCTCAAGGCCTTCTGCTTCGGACTCCTTTTGTTCTGCAGCCTGCATTTGTTGCTGAGCTCTCAGCTCCTCCTCCGCGGCTCTTCGCTCCTCTTCTTCCCTCTGTCGCCTGGCTTCCTCCTCTTGGCGAGCCTGCTCTGCGGCCAGCGCGGCTGCGGCTGCTTCCGCTTCAGCTCTCTCCCTCTCCTCGCGAGCTCTGGCCGCAGCTGCTTCTGCTGCCGCGGCTTCTGCCCGCGCCCTCTCATCTGCCTCCCTCGCTGCCGCCTCAGCAGCAGCCTTTTCTTCGGCTTCCCGGCGAGCCCTCTCCTCCAACTCCTTGGGGTCCGCCCGCTTGGGCTGTTTGGCCTTGTTCTTTGTGCAGGCACCACCCATTGTTGAACAGAAAGGAGATGAATATGGCGTGACCACAGGTAGAGGGGGTTTCACACGTGTAAGCGAGATGGCGCGTCGCAAGCAACAGTTTGGCGCTATTGCTGTACAGCAGTACACACACTGCGCCCGTGCTGTACTGAGAGAGAAGAAGCAGCAAATAACAGTACGAAATGTGAAAATGCGGTCTGTGATCTGTAGTATTGTCAGACTGCGGATGGAGCAGAGGCTAAGGCTGTCGATTCTGTAGGCAGCGCAGCCAGTTCTTGGTGGACCGCTGCCTGTCGAGCTCGACCGAAACCGCAACCCAGGGTTGCTGCTATTCAAGAATCCTGGAGTAAACAGCTGTTCCTTGCGTGTTAAACCATATCAAGTGGTAAGGATGAGTAAATAAAAGATAAATAGAACAGAAACAACCCTTTGGAAGCTCTAACTGACCACTAAAGAGCCACCTTGGACAGCAGCACCGCCGACAGCCGTCGGTGGTGCTGCGCGGGAGCAGCGAGCCATCGCTAGTGACAGTTTGATACGGGAAAGGGCGCACAGTGTAGTTCATTTGCAGATATGTGATAGCGTCAAGCATTTTGTGGGAATGGTAGGCATTTTGCGCAATAGTGTTCATGCGGCCACACACCGATTGAATGATGGCCGATTCTTCACTTTGGATAGAAGCGAAATACACCGAGCGCGCCGTTCGGCAGTAAGACAAAAGCATTTTTCTCCATGTCGCCCCACCAGTGAAAAACTGGCCCAAGGAAGATTTCGTATGCCTTGTCCCGTTCCGAGATCCCATGTTTGTCTGGGCCCTACAACTGCTGGCTTACACTTGCCTGCTAAGGACTCTGTACAATAACCATACACGGCATGCTTAAGCACCGTATTTCAACACACCAGGGCTTCGAAAACTCGAGCTTCTGGCTCCAGTCAAAGCCCAAAGAATACACGAAAGCTGAGCCGTGCTCTCTCCTTTCAGTTCTAGCGATGTAGAAGCATATGGGAGATGGTAATCTCGAAGTAAGACTGCAAACTGGGACAGCGAATAAGTTATCAATTGTCCGTAATAACTTTCCATGCATTGAACAGTCGCTTCTAATGTACTCGACCCTGGCGTCTCTGCCGGTACATACGATTTGACTGCTCAAAGTAGGCGGCCATAGGCCCACAACACGCGTTCAGCATACATTAGAGATCTCATCAAAGCATATTTTGCAATTATGTGGTCACGACCATCAAGGGAGCTTGGCTAAATGGCTAAACGCATCATAATTGCCCCGCGGTCCCTAAATCTTGCATGAGACACCCGAAGAAGACCCCCGGATATGCAATTCAGCGCGGTGGACGGAAGAGAAGCGGCGAGCAATGGTAACTGTCAGGTGAATGATGAGAGAGAATCTACGGGCTTTTTAAAGTCGCACCTTTGAAATGTGAGCTATGTCGGGTGCATATGCACTGAGGCCTGGTGTTTCTGCTATGCACGAATGCTGCTCCTTTGCTCGCAGAACCAGAATGGTGATACCAAATCACATGCATAAATTCAATAGCCAGGCTGTTTCTATGTATATACGTATACACATACATGCATAAATACATTTATCTACTAGGATTGCTACAAATGAAAGTTTTGGAGCAGCTGGGCTCAAGGAGGCAAGCTACGCATACGCGAACTTCGGTTCTGCAGGAGCCTCCTTTCACGTTTGTCTTTTAACAAAACCAAACTTTTCCCCTTGATACGAACTGAAGCAGGACCTACGCAGTGCATTTCTAGCAAGTTCACGACTCTTATAAGACGGGTATGCTGTACAGCCGTCCTAAATGAGACTGTACAGCCTCTAAACTTGATAGTTTTCTTGCCATATCGTTAAAACGGAAGAAATCTTTTGGTATATGCATAAAGGATCTGTATCAATAAGAAAATGCCTCTATATCTTGCAATCGACGCCAGGTAGGCACAATCCCTCGTGGCTCTTATAGAGGGTCCGACCAATAGCTAAAGAAGCGTATGTCTCATCTGAAGAGACACAATTAAGGTGACGAAGTGGATGAGGTAGCCACAGAATCATACAATTTGATTTAGTGTAGGGTTGATCCCAACCCAGGTAGTCAAAGGCTTTGACTTCAGGATCCGGGTAAAGCCAGCTCAACTACAGGTGATTCTCCTATAAGGAGAGGAATGACCTGAAACCACGCGAAAAAGGGATGAATTTATACGTATGACCAGCACAGCTGGTCTTATTAAGCTGTCCATAAATTTTCCTTTGTTGCTGCTTCCACCGAGCCTAACTCCGCAGGTACACTTCCCCTCTTTTGTTTACTCTGTGTATGCTTGCGCCAGTAACTAAACAAGCATTACGGAAGTAGAAGTAAGGAAACAAGGATTAGGATGATGCAGCTTGCAATGTATGCTATACAGCGCTGTTCACATATCTTATGCTGAAATTGCATGTCGCGTTGCACTGTGACTCTCATAGAAAATGAAAGTCAAGTTTCCATGGCCAAAGCGGCTCTCCGCGTTTGGAGTGGTCGACAATAGTATTCTGGAGACCGTGTGCCCTCTCGTTTGCTGCGCGGTCGTGTTCGTCTGACAGGTCTATTACAAACAGCCCCGTCGCTCACCCCTCTTCCCGTTGCTCAGTCTGGCATCTGCTTCTGCTCCTGTTGTAGTCCTTATACACGACTGTCTAAAAGCGTTCTCCCCACCACCACACCGCTTTATTCAGTTTTATGATATCTGCCCGTTTTCCCAGGCCTCACCTGCACCCAGGCCCCTGTGGGCTGTGAAAGTTTTAATGCCGTATATCTCTAAGTACGCATATTGCGTTCAGACTCTGTGCATCCCCTTCCACTAACAAGTTCCTTGCTTCATTCTCGAGCGCCGTTATATGAAAAAGGCTTGAAAGAGGGGCCCTGCGAGAACGAAGGTTCCATTGAGCACAGAGCGTTAGATTGGGCAAGTTAGCACATTCCACCCTTCCTTCCCTCCACACTACTAGATAGAGCACTGCTTTGATGTAACCAGCAACTGTATACGCACAGCCAAAGAGGCATCAAACAGAGCAATGGAACGGCGTTGCTAACGGCCGTGTCTAGTGGTTCTCGGGAGTGTGAGAACATAAATGGTGAGCAGAAGCAGCCCGTTTTGGGAGCTGCCATATATACGGATGCCTCTGTAACGACAGCACCACTAGGAACACAAATTTCTGTTGTGGAACACATTGAAAATTCATTGGATTGACTTTAGAAGCTTTTGCTGCTGTCGTTGTTGTCGGCTTTGGTGACACTGTCGCCCTACGAGGTAAATTGTGGCCTAATAGAGTTGAGCACCAACTCTGAACTTACAGTGGCTACCAGCGTTATTCAATCCTAAAAGCTCTGTTTCAGGGATTCAAGAAGAGGGTTATTTTTCAGTGACTTGGCTGTGTCTGGGTGTCTATCTGTACAGTGCCTGTTGCGGGCCTCTACCCATTCCCTGCAGGGATTTTGATTGAAACAAGCGCGATACAGAGACTACCGAGATCCTGATGCAGCTGGTTTGACTTGTGAAGTGGACGGGGACAAATACCTGCAGGCACTTGCCTTCTTTAAGTTCTTGTTTCTGCCACTTCTACCAGCTGACGCCTGGTGGCTCTTCTCTGCGTGTATGTCACGCACTTCCGTTACTCGTGAGAGGCTTCCCCCTTGTCACTTCCTCTTGGAAGTCATGAGTAGGCTGCAGTCTCTGAGGGCTTTTCGAGCATGCAAGCAGCCATCGCAGCTGCTTCTCGATGCTGCTTGACTGATTGTTTGCTGAGTCCCTCTCTATCTCCGCTGTAGGGAGTGGAGGGGCTGCACCGGGCGGCAACAAATGAAGGAGGACACCATGAGTGGAAAGAGAAGAGGAACCTCCACTCACCCATTTTCCGCAAGCTTTCGACTGATTATTGTACAACTCAGAAATGCAGTTAATGTATTTTTCCGAACTGCTTGCGGAATTGAGTGCAGTGTCTGGTCGAAGTGCTGTCAGTGCTAGTGCTTCCGAAGAGTCCACCTCTCCCTCGCTAGGCGTCTTCCAGCTGCTCCGTTGAAGCCATAAACACGGTGAAGGCTATAATTGAAACAATAGCATCAGAAAGTGTGGTATGGGGCAAGCCTCAAGGAGTATGGGACACTCAAGAGGGTCAAGACTCTCTGATCTGGGAAGGCAGATACACAAAGGGTATTTTTGCTATTCTTAGAGTGTGCTACGAAAGCAGCGCACGAAAAACAAGGGGCGAAATTTTTTGTTAGCTTTGACGAAGACCGTTTTCGCGGTTTGATCTAGTATGGGGCGTGTACAAGCCGGCAAAGAAGAAGGGTGGAGGGCAGAATGATGTAGCATACTGGGGTTTCTGTAGATAAAATACAATGACGTCTCCCAAAGTAGTTGTCTCTCGTGTCTGAGTTTTTTGATGAGCAATACTGCTTAAACAGATAGCGGTTTGAAGATAACAGCACTGCGAATGCCTGATGGGGGAAACATGTTCCACATGTAAATGCACGCAGAAGAATGATACGCATTTTTGCGAGGAAGTAGGGTGTCCTTCCTTTGTTCACTTAAGCTCCCTGGTACTGAAATTAAGAAATGAGGCAAGTATGCAGTCTGCTGCGAGCTGGGGACGCAGCTGAGACTTAGGGTGCATTGCATCAACACACACAGTCTCGCACTTTTTGTAGTGTTTGAGCATCAGCTAATACTGGTACTTGTATGTACGTGCCCCACCACCAAGGAATTCAAGAAGTCCTCACACCCTTGCTGCACCCGAACAGTTCACTTCGGACTCTCTCAGATGCTGTTCTGTGGCTCACATACTCATGTGTGTTTCCTCGGCATTCGTCTAGGCGACGGTCTGCGAATTATTCCGTCCAGACCATAGGTCAAGTATGCGCTTTGAACAACCCGAATCCTACAGGCTACTGGTGTGCTCCCAGCCACTAAGGCCTAAGCCTTAGATGTCGAAAAAACTTTTAAACCAAGCTTATTTGTTCTC